TCTGCGTTACGTGGCCACTCGGGCCAACACTGCTGATGTGTTCACCAAGGCGCTTCAGCCTTGTGACCATCAGCGTTTCTGTACTGTTCTAGGCCTTGTGCCTACTCTCCCTCACTTGCTCACTTCTTGACTCTGCTTGTACTGTGATCTCTATATATATATACCTGCATGTTTACTCTTGTTAGGTTGTGATCACTGTACCTCTTGTTATATTATCAAACTGCATGTGAACTGGTCTTGTGACCACTTGCTTGTGCTCGGAATTTGTGTGGTTTCCTTGAGATCCACCCTGAGCTTGCTTTGCTTTGCTTTGACTGGTCTTGTGACCATCTGGTTGTCTCCCACTTAGCCTATGGGGGTGTGTCAAACATTATACATGTTCATATTGTGTAGGCTATAGTGGGTTTAGCCTTAGGGGGTACAACATTGCTAGGGTTTCCTACTTGTATCACCCTGCTGCCTAGTTTCACACATTCTCGTTCAGTTCTACATTCTAACACCGAGACCCTCGCTAAGAAGTTCGGGATAGCTCCTGTCGGCGTCACCACCCCGTTCCGCATTCCTCCGCCTAACCACGAGCCCGACACTACTCCGCTCTCGCCGGCTGATCACCGTCTCTACCAGCAGCAGCTCGGATGCTTACTGTTCGCCGCCGTCACATGCCGCCCGGACTTATCCTACATCGCCAGCCAGCTCGCCCAGTACCTGCGCCGACCTGAAGGGGAGAACCTAGCAGACCTGCGCCGCGCCTTACAGTACTTCATCTCTACGCCCGATGTCGGTCTCACCTACAAGGCCAACTTAACAGCCCCACTACAACTCACCGGCTACGTGGATGCTGACCACGCAGGGGACGCAGACAACAGGAGGTCCCGCACAAGCTTCATTTTCAAGCTCGAGCCCGCAGGAACCATTTCCTGGAACTCCAACAAACAGGAACTCATCGCCCTCTCGTCAGCAGAAGCAGAATTCATCGCAGCAAGCGCAGCAGTTCGCGAAGGACTCTACCTCACGGAGCTCCTGCAGGAAACGAAGACGGCGATGAACGGGTCCTTTAAGTTACTCTGCGATAACCAGAGCGCGATCAAAATCGCAAACAAGCCAGGCTTCGTCAACCGCACGAAACACATCGCCCTGCGTTACTTCTTCGTGAAGGACGAAATCGACAAAGGGAAGGTCCAGCTCATCTACTGTCCAACTGGCGAAATGGCAGCTGATTTCCTCACGAAGAAACTGCCACGTCAAAAGTTCCAGTACTGCTCGGACCTGTGCGGAGTCACTCGCAAAAGCCACGTGGCGCACCTCCAGGAATGAAGGGGAGTGTTGGAGTGTGAAGGGAATTATACTTAGCATTCCCGTAGGTGCAGCAGTATCGCACCTGACTCTGTCGAAGCAGCAACTACCGCAATATCGGATCAGCCCGTAACAAGGGCAGGAAGGTCAACAGTCGCAAGAGTCAACTGTTGCCGACTGTTGACCATCTGGACCGACGCTTGACTTACCATCGAGGAATGGCAACAGGCGTAACCGTACAGGTTACATGAAGCGACTCGGTAACAAGAAAGGCAGTACAACAGTCACTTGGTCATCTACATTCACTATGATCTGAGTTCTTACAAGACTTCCGCTACCAACTCTACCAAGGCACTTCCTATCCTATCCAATGATCCTTACTCTAACAGATATGATAAGACTGTTAAGTTGAGAGAAGACAATGAAGTCTGATTAGTGACGTTGTTAATAATAATTGAAAGAGAACAAGATGATTATAACATAGAGGTACAAGGGTATGTGTCAGAATATTATGCTCTAGCCTGTAGTGGGGTGCTCTATAGCGAGTACAACCCTTCTAGGGTTTGCTATTTGTATCCTCATTCTTGCTAGTGCATCCCCTCTTCTTCCTACTATTTCACATGGTATCAGAGCAGGTCGATCCCCTTGGATCGATCCTGTGGGTGGGCTCACCACCTCGTTGCTTCCGCTGCAACTTCCACTACTACCTTCTGTGCCGCACGCCCCGTGGCGTGCGGCAGTTTTTCTTCCCGCCGTGCGCCCCGAGGCGCGCGGCGGTTTTCTGCCCGCCGTGCGCCCCGTGGCGCGCGGCGGTTCTCTGCCCGCTGTGCGCCCCGAGGCGCGCGGCGGGCTTCTACCCCGTCACTCGCCGCGTCGCCCTCGGGAGGCGCTGCGACGGGCGACGGGGACCCGCGCGTCGCCCCCCGTCGCCCGTCGTGGCCTGCGCGCGGCCCGTACAGCCGGCGCGCGGCCCGTACGGGCTGCGCCAGACCCGCGCGCGGCCCGTACGGGCTGCGCCAGGCCCGCGCGCGGCCCGTACGGGCTGCGCCAGGCCCACGCGCGGCTCGGGCCGCCTGCGCGCGGTTCGGGAGGCTGTGCCAGGCCCGTGGGCGGCCCTTTCCTCGCTGCCCCTGCCCTCCCCGCTGTCCCCCGTGCTTCTGCTGGCGCCCCACCCCTCCTACAGCCCGTTCTCCTGAATTAGGGTTTGGGGGTGAGGGGTATGGGGGTGAAACTACTGTGTGCCGTTCCCTGCTCCTCCTCCTCCTCCGTCTCCCTGTGCTGCAGCTGCCGCTGAGGGGGGGTGGACTTGTTGGAGCCGTTGGAGTGGTGCTAAGGGGGGGTGAAGGGGGAGTGGAGCTAGCGGTGTAGCAGCGGGTGTGTGTCAGGAGGGGTGGTACTGTTTGGGGGAGGTCGAGTGGAGGCAGCAGTCTTGTCGTCAGCAGCAGCAGCAGTCCGGAGGCTACAATCTCCGGTAGTCGCCAGTCGCCCGTGGGTCCGTTGCTCGTCTGCCGCTACTTTTAGCCGCGGGGCCAGTTACCCCAGTAGTCCGGAGCGTTGTTCCGGTAGCCACTGAGCCAGCAGCTCGTCTGTGTGTCTGCAGCGTCAGCAGTCGCCTCCCATCTTCTCTCCCCCACAGTCTCTCCTCCTCCTCACTTGCCCTCTGCGATAGCCTCTAGCTTTGCTCATAATTGTGAACTTTAAACTATTGCTTCTTGAACTTGTGCTCAGAATGTGTGGTGACATTGTGATCCACCCTGAGCTTGTACTGCTTTGCTGATTACACCCCACTTTGGCTATGGGGGTGTGTCAGAATATTATGCTCTAGCCTGTAGTGGGGTGCTCTATAGCGAGTACAACCCTTCTAGGGTTTGCTATTTGTATCCTCATTCTTGCTAGTGCATCCCCTCTTCTTCCTACTATTTCACACTACTACTAACCCCCCAGGACAACGTGCCTGTAACCCTTCCCTAGGATCAATCGGGGATCCCCAGTGGACCTCTGACAGTATGGCCAAGAAGTATTAACCGTAGGCAAGATATGGCGACGCCAGAATGCAATGCACATGTTTTAATTTTGGATTCTGTAATGGCCACTACATGATTCTTCTGGGGTCACAAGGCTGGAAAAAAACCAAACTTGTTTATTTGTAATAGTGTAGCACGCCCTCCTCATTGCTTTTACTGATGTGACTGTACTCAGAGTGATAGCTTGCGTTTTAGTGTTGAAAGTAAACTGGCATAAAGATGTACAGTTCTAAGGTTGAGACCCGATACGGCTGGAAAATCTGTGTCGTGTGCCACAGTAACACTCAGAGGCTGGCGAGGAGTTCTCAGGTGTTTGTCCTGCACCGCAGGTATATTGCCCCACCTGCGTCTTGATAATGTGGAACAGAACAGAACCGCGGAGGGCGCTCGCTGTTCATGCTGCAAATAAAACCATTCTCAGGGCGTTTGAAGATCTTTTGATTTCGACTTCCTACCACGTATCTCAAATGTTGTGGGAGTGGCAGGTGTGCTTGTTTCAGCCAGGTTTAGATAATTTCGTATCGCAAAAGGTTTTTTCTTCGAGATTGCCGTGGAAGGTCTTCCGTCCATCGCGGTAACACTTTTGTAAGATGCAATTTTGTGGCGAGAGTCTCTCGCATGACTAGACTGGAATTCCCGCCAGGCAGAATGTTCGCCAGGAGCGGAGAAAACACAGGGCGGGCAGGACGGGAGAAGGTAGGACTGAAGTGGGCGGGAAGCACGCTAGGACTTCAATTCTGCATTCCGGCGGGTCTGACGCTAACAGATTCAGTTCCAGAACGGACTTCACGGCCGAGCAGGAAAACTTGCATGCTATGTCCTTCGCTCCCATGCAAATCTAGCCCTCCCTTTCACGAGGAGGACTGACGAGGGCTGAAGGCTGCTGTTCCAGCTGTGAACTGTACTGTACCATCCCCATCCATCGCGTTGCTTATCTCGGCTGCTCTCCATAGCCGCTCCACGGTTCTGCCGAGCGGTTGCTGAGCCAAGGTCGGAATCCGGAAAAATTTCCAACAGTTAATAGGTGCATTCTCGGTTATCATTCAGTTCTAGACCTGCGCCATTGAATCTCTGTAGCACAGCCCGATTGTGGGAAAACCCTCGTGGCCGGCGAAATCAGGTTTGGCTGCGCCCATCTGCTAGCAGCTACGGACACTCTTTCGCAAAACCGTACGGAAAGAGACGAAGACGGAAAAACAAAAATAGAAAAAAGGTATCGCGCCTCCCCATTTCGAGCGCTTCCCCGTTACCAGTCATGTCGACATCCTCCCGTTTTCACGCGTCGCCGAAGCTACTGCTGCTCGCCCTCGTAGCCATTTTCACCTGCGGTCCGAGTCAGGTGTTCGGTGACATGCGGCCGGGGTGCGTGAACAAGTACCAGTGCCCGAACCGCGCGACGCGGCAGTGCGGAGTGTTCTACAATTGCATGGCCGGATCGACGGCCAGCATCGCCAAGGCATCTATCACCACATGCGGCGGTTGCTCCTTCAACGAGCCGTGAGTGACTAACGAGGCGGGAGTGACTTAACGGAGCCGTGAGTGTCTGCACCGAGTCGTCAGAGAGTAACGATCCGCCTTTCGGGCGGCAGATTGCGAGGTCTCAGAAGAGGTAGGCACTTTTTAGACCCGTTTCGACGTTTTTTTTCTGCCGTCAACTATTAGCAGTGGTTAATGATGAGACCTATGTCTCTCTCAACAGCTGGCGGGTCGGCTTCAGCGCTTTTCTTAAATCCGGATTTCCCTCCTTCCCCTTTCACCTTCTCCACCTTGCCCTATTTCTCGTCTCCCACGTGCTCAAACCCTCTCTTCTCCTTTTCTCACCTTGCCCTTTTCTTTCTCTCCTCGTTTTGTTTCTCCTTCTCTCGTTTTCGTTCTGCGCGATGCAGCAAGAAGGCCTTCGCCTCGGTGTGCAACTACGAATATGGCCGATGCGTTCCCAACACCATTGTAAGCTCCGAACACCTTCATGCTTTGCATTTTATATTGGTTACGGATAGCAAGAATGCACATTAGGTGCGTCGACGAAGGGTACACGTAAGATGGTGATTTCACATGCCCCTTGGTTAGTATGGCTCGCGCAAAAGCACACGTCCAACAGTTTATTTGTGAGCAGGACTTCTCCCCGTTTTTTAGTTGACCGTCCTCGTTACTGAGTCGTCCAACTGCAGGATGGGAAAGTCTGCACAGCAGATACGGAGTGCGCGGCTCCTGGCGTTACAGGCTTCACGTGCCGCCCAGTCAAGACGAACAAGACGCTGAAACGATGCTGCAGGTGAGCACTTTGCTAAACCGTCGATATTAGATCTATGCGGATCATCTTGGACGGAAACGCGGGTGGGAGGATGGAAAGTCCGATTGTCGCTTACATCTTCCCTCGTCCTGAAATTTCCAGCCCATGTTTGTTCTTCTCCGCCCTTCCCCACCCGCAGGACCAGGTGTCCTCCCGGCATGTGCGGGGCTCGGCTGAAGCCTCTCAAGTACACCAATGCATGCGGAGAACAGTATGTATGCGCTGGAGTGTGCCCTACCACACCCTCTTGAGCCGATTCCCCTTCTGGCTTGGTGCTCCGACTTCAGTTATAGAGCCGTTGCCGCGCTTGGTGTGAAGGGTTGCTTAATGCAACACGCGTTTTTATGTTGGAGCACGGGTTGTCCAATATGATGTATTGTATTGTGTACCAGTAGTGTTCCACTGCAAAGGTAGGAGAGGTTATTGGTTTGGTTTGGGTTGTTGTAAAGGCCTGCTGTGAGGGCAGGGCACCGTACGGATTATACTTGATTCATTCCATCTTTCTGTCCACTTTTCTCACTCAGCACCACCTACGGTACCAACACTCCCATCCATCCCCATGATGGGAGATGTAGGAGTTATCACCACGTTACAGTGCAGAGAAACCAACCAACCAATTGCCCCAAGACTTGCTATAATTCCTTGGATAACCAATGCACCTGCCAATTTACAACGGCACAAAAAGGCTTACGATAACGCAGACATAATCAGATACCGTAGTGCGTGCCACCAAGGTCCAACTGCAGCACCAGTCAACATTGCAGAGTATCGACGTTGGCAGCATCAACAAGTCAACGTACGGTGGTTCTGACTTTATGCATGCTATTTAATGTTCACATACTTTCCGTGCCAAATATCTGACATTTCTTATGGCGCAAAACAGGGCGCACTGTGAAAGACGAAACTACTTCATGATGGAAGCACCTGTACTTTCGGTCGCAGGTGCCAGGGTTGGTAACAGCGTTGACGGTTGATCAAGTCAACAGGTCAACTTCAAGAGGCATGAGCACATCACTTCACTGTGGCAGCTCCAAAGGTCCAGGAGCTGTTGCTGGGCAGATTTGACGAGGAACTGTCGAATACAGTAGTGCAGCTCTTGCCCAGTCTTTCTGCGAATCATGCGAGAATAATGTATCATGTGTCCACAATTCCCAGTTTCGAGCGGTTTTTTGTCCGCACACATTCCCTACTGCACGGTGGACGCACCGCAGGGTTTCAACATCGCTGTGCGAGCGGAAGCACTTCAGACGTGTGCACGGCGAACATCGGTGGCAAGAGTTGTTTCGGGCAGTTCAGCTGATTCAAACGTCTGCCCAAACCCCGTCGGTGCCGTCAGACTCAGAACAGAGTCCACGAAGGACATTTCGCATTCACTGCGCCTGTCACACGGCAGCAGTGAATGCGGTCAAGTTCGGTGACCCTCCATTTACCACCACCACTCACTTCCACCAACCTCGGCAAACACCGGCCCTTGCCCCCGTCGCGACCATTCGCGAATGCCAAATGGCGCACGATCGGCGCAGATCGCTATTTCACCAATCAACGCGAGGCGGTGTGCAAGTTCGGGGCTTCGGCAGCTGCGCGGTCGTGGATGGTGCAGCTGCGAGCAGCAGTGCCAAACGCAGGGGAGTCATGCCATGCCGCGTTTGGTTTCCATCCAATCCATGTATCCGCCGCGCAGCGCCGCCCCCAAACCCATTTCCCCCTCCTCACCCTATCTCGCGCCCCTCCCACTCCGTCCATTCCATTCCATCCTCGTGTGCCGGTGCTACTCCCCCACTTTTCCCTCCCCCAACAACCCAAACGTTGCCAGCTTTTTGAAGACCAAACTCTCCCTTGTATCCGCCCGACCGACCCTTACCATAGCTGACTGGTGAATGTCCAGCACCGTCCATTCTTGTGGCGTTTCCTTCTCGTTCGGTTACAGCACCTCGTGATCTTCCCGTTACGTCGCGTGTGTTTCCTTCGCCCGTGTGTCGGAGGCCATCCATCGCTACGAGAGATTCACAGGTACATCGTCATTGCGTTTATTTATGGGTCAGTTAGCTGCAAGAGTGTTCCAGCAGCCAGACTAAGGCACCGCTCACCACAAACTATCCGTCAATCGTTTTCTGCGGAACCCCTGTGCACTATCGAACCAGCTGATCGCGGCTCGTTTTCGAAACCTTCGCATTCCCCTCTAAACAACCCCGTTCCGCCCTCCTCTCCCTCATCACTCTAAATTCCTCTGCCTATCCTCCAGCCCGTCAACTCCTGCAATCATGTTGCCGTCCGTAGCTGTCGCGTTGGTGCTGCTCGCCGCGTCCATTCCGGCGTCGGACGCGCAAATTCGGCCCGGCTGCATCCGGAAGTACCAATGCCCGCGTCGCGGCAGCAATCAGTGCGGCCTCTACTACGTCTGCTCCACTTCTGCGAATCCCAAGCCGCCCTACACCCTGCAGACCTGCGACACATGCTCCTTTCGGGACAAGTGAGTTTTTTTCCCTTCTTTTCGATTTTTGTTTTCTAGGCTAGTTTTCTGTGGGACCCATTTTTTTGCTCGTTCAGGACTGTAGCCGGAAACCCTGCGGCTCTGCTACATAAAGGCACGTGCGGGTATCGGAAGATGTTCGAGTTGCTGCTGAGTATTCGGTTCCATGGGAGACTATGTGCGCGTGAGGTCATCCTACCCCTCGTTAGCCGGGCCCAGGCCGCGTGGTTTGGTGGCCTGGTTGTCTTGTTACCCCGCGTGTGCTCTTCTACCCCCCGTTCGACGGTTATATCACGTCGCGCTTGCACTCTTGGTCAGACAACCAGACCGCCGTGCACCTGCTAGCCTTGCACGCACCTGTGCATATAGTTGCGAGTTTCTAGGCGCCTTAAAAGCACCTGCGTGTACAGTGGGCGGAAGTAGGTGCGGTGTCGACTTGAACCTGCTACGAGCAGTGTTGGAAACGTGTGATTCGTTCGCCATACCGAGCGTGCCAATCCAAGAGGCCCACTATTCAAACTTAGGGAAACGGCACGTCACAGCCACGAGTTGTTTGTTCAATTCTTTATTATTCAGATCCTATGCTCTCGATCAGCTTTTCTTGAGTTTTTCACGGTGGGATGAAGGTGATCTGTTCCTGCGTCTGCGGGCGGAACGAGGAAGCGGGCGTCGGGTGCAGTCCTGTGCGACCAGCCGTGTGATACCCTCTACCTCGAGCATCAGCCGGACGATTCTCCAGCATTGGCCGAACGATTGATCACGTTTCTCCTATCGCCGTTACAGTTATCTGTCCTCCCTCCGCTCTGCCTGCTCACCCCTTTCCCACTTCTGCTTCCCCCCCTCTCCAACCTGTCCCTCTGCCTATCGTCTTATCTCAGCGTTAAGGCTTATACTGACGTGTGCAACTACCTGACAGGCCGATGCAACAAAAACGTTATCGTGAGTCAACCACCTCATCACACCTCACCGCGCCTCACTGCACCTCACCGCACCTCACCTTGCTCTCTTGGTTTTGGCCTCGTGTTGAATCAACCACCTCGCATTCGTTGAAGTTTTATTTTGTTGCTTCATTTGTCCAACGCTGGCTGGTGTGCTGTGCTCGCAGGATGGCAAGCCTTGTGCTACAGATGCACAATGCGGTGCATCAAAGGAGTTCACTTGCCGGGAGAACAATAACAGCAAAGCCAAGCCCAAGGCCAAGCGCTGCTGCAGGTGAGGGAGGGCGAAGGCAGACTTTTCCCTCTTCCTTTGATATTATTTTTCTTTCCCATCTTGCTGTCTCCCTCCTAACTTGGTTACGTTTCTGTTTCTTGCAGGACCAAATGCCCTCCTGGACTGTGCGGTTATGGCAAGACTCCTCCAACTTATGTCAATGCCTGCGGCACTAGGATCACCTGTCCTGGAGTCTGCCCAAAGAAGTGATTACTCTTGGTGCTTGAACTATCTAATCTAGAACATTATGAAACCCATAGGGTGGGACATCAGAATGCTTCATCTTAGTAGGCATTGTACTTCAACTTGCTTGGGAATTCAGGCATTGTACTGTAAGATACCTGTACAACAACGAAGAGTTGATAAATCGGTCAGAGCATGAATGCTACCCAGATATTTGCGCAACGGACGGTCGTGGTTCTCCCAAGTTTCCTGGATTTGTGGGGATTAGAAGCGAAAGTGCGAATACATATCGGTTCGGTTCGGTTGTCCGAGTGAATTTCGCATCATCGCTTCACTTCATTGACTCTCAACTCGAGTCGAGACTTGAGTCCCCCGACTCCCTCCCACTCCCGACTCCCGACTCTCAAAGCGTGCATCGCAGCAGCAAAGCCAGCCAGACCTGCTTCAAGCAGACAACTCTGAACTCATGAGTCGTTGGGACGACTGCTAAACTTTGAGTCAGAATTTGCATTCCACCATCGTAAGGTGTTTGTGTCTCCAACTTCAGTGGCTATTTCACCGTTAACCCTGCCAAATAAATTTGATAACGAAGAGGAGACCTTCATTCAGGATATTTATTCTCCATAAGCAATTGCGTGTGCTTGTGGTCTGTGGCAGCTAAATCTCCCCGTGAGCGTGTATTAAACAGCTGCGGTAGGAAGCATGCAGTTTGCTTCTATCGCGCGGCTCGAGTTGAAGCATCTAACGAATGGGCATGCACACGTAGCTCCCTGGGGATCCATGGCGATCGATTTTCGTCGTCGGTGGAATCAGACGATCTCTACCGTCAGATCCCCTCCATCAACGGCCCCCGTGCGGTTGCGCGTATCCGCAAGGATCCAGGTCGACCGGCGGAAGCATCTCGAGGAGCTCTTTCGCCGTCAGCTGGTGAGTGATGCCGAGATGACTCTTGAGTCGACTCAAAAGTGAGTGATGCCACGTGGCGCCGCGCCGCTGATTTCTTGTTCCTGCCATTATCCTACCCGACGCCGAACCCTTAGGTGTTTCGAAGAGCCTGAAACACGCGCGTGCAACTTTTAGGCGTTTTTTCTGAATCACTCTTGGAGCCAGGAGCGGCTATCGCTTGTTGCTGATTACCCAGGAGTGGGAAACCTCCTCTCCGCGTGCAAGCGGTATATGTCGCTGGGTCGTCCTAGGTGTCTTGCTCGATCTCTCAGAAATTGTGCTAGCGAGCCGATCCTTGTCGCGAAGTTTGACGCAGTTCCGTCTAATTCTACTCCGTACTTCGTTATTCTTCCTACTCAGCTTGCTCTTCCTCCAACCCCGTCACGTACACCCCACCACCACCTGCCACCAATCTCGCTGAAGCTCTTGCACACCTCGGCATGATACACGCTGTCTACATGTAACTTCTTTTAGAATTACATATTACTCACAACAACTTCCGTTCCATTCTTTACCTGGCAATATCTTGCCGCCAGGAGGAGGAGAAACGACGAGCTGAGTCAGCTGTGACGTGTCCAGTGGATTGCGTGCGAAAGGTGCGGACTATGGCTGATCTGGAAGCGGAGTTGCTAACAGCGGAGCAGAATATGCAGCTGGTGAGATTGGAATGAAGAATGGAGAAGAAAAAAATAAGTCAAGAGTCAGGTTTCTCAAGCCTTGTAGCGGCAGTCTGTTCGTTTCTTGTTTGTAATGGATTGGATGATCACAAATGCGGTTGCCTGATGCAGGTGGTTGTGGATTTCTACAACTCGTCATGTGGCTCGTGTAGATACATTCTTCCCAGATTCATTGACCTCTGCAAATCAGTAAGAGCACGTCATGCTCCCATGTGATGGAACACTTATAACCCGAGGTCCACAGGTTTCAAAGGTAGGAAGGTTGGTTGGACCTGGTGACTCAACCAAAGGTAGGAAGGATGAGGCAATTGAGGGGAACTTGGGACTCCGGTTTTAAGATATCCTTGGCCAAGCTGTCGTTTTCTTCCCTCATTTGCGTGGTTCCTCCTTGCGATCATGTCTCACATACTTGGTCGTTTTCCTTTGTTCAGGGCTGTCAGGGTGACTCTGAGTGTGCAGTGGATGGATTCGCAGTTTCAGACAACACTACACCTGATAGGGTTACAACAGGTGGAATAACAAGCAATGTTTCTCCAGCAGCAGCTGAAGAGAGCACGGATGCAGATGCTGTTGACTCTGAAACATTGCGGCAGGAGTTTTCAGCCGTTCGGTTTCTCAAGCACAATGTCTGGGACGACTATGACGACTTAACGGTATGTCTGTGGATGGTTACTCGCTAGGTGGCTCGTCATATTTGTGGTTCTCAAGGTTTCATTGTTGGTCATAAATTGGAAGCACTGTTTTGTTCTGTCAAGACGCAGCAGCAGTGCTTTTCAGCTGGAGTCCTGACCTGATCCTTTTTGTACTGCAACATGATATTGGCTTATAGCAATGGAGTGGCTTGAACCTGAGAGTCCTGTAGCTACAAGCAGTGGTCCTTTTTATGTTTCTCTGCCTTCCTTTAACTAGAACATTAATTCCATTCTCCATTCGTTTCTTTCAGGAAATCGCCCTGCTGTATCGCATCAAGCTGGTTCCCGCCTTTGCCTTCTTCAAGGTATGTAACCATTTGTTGTGAGTTTTGCTATGGCAATTATGGTCTCTGCTGTTCTTGGTGCCGTGTGCAATCCATTCATGCAATCATGCTCTTTCAATGCTTTCACATTGTCCAAAACTGCTTCGCAATCCACACGTGAATCCCTCCCCCATTGTCCCCAATCCATATCTATCAGCCAAAATGAAGCATTGTGCATTCTTTTTCTTTGTCCCGCCCTTTTCATATTTGATGGTTTTCAGGACGGTTCATGCATTGGCCAGGTCGCAACAAGAAACACATCCAGGGTGGCAGCTGCGCTGGCAACCCTGCTATCAGGGCACAAGCTGTGACTCTGGTGTGTGTGGCCTGTAGCCAAGCGCATGGATGTGGGAGGCTCCAACGACAAGATAGCTGGCGATGATGAAAAGTGGAAGCATGCAGCCTCCAAAATAACTGTTGAAGCGGCTACTGTAAATATTAGCCATTGAAAGATCAGGGGCATGAATATAGTACAATGTACCGTACTGTATGTATAGCCTGTGAGCTGTATATTGTACAATTATTACGCTGTTTAGGTCTGAAGACTACAGGTTTTCTCATTTTTTAAATTATGTTGAAGATAATTACGGGACGGGAAATGTCAGCTCGGCATTCTCCAGGTTTTAGGTGAGCTCAGTGAGCCCCCCTGATTCTCTCGAAGCTAACTCTTTCGCCACCTTTCGTGTTTCTCCTCTTTTCTCATCCACAGTTAGCTCGGCTTTGCTTGGCACGAATTGTCCAGGCTGCCTGTGGACTAACCTCGAGTTGATCTCGTCACAGACCCGCTAGACTGGCAAAAAAACCTGTTGCACGTCAGTTCCTTATCGCGAGCGTGACGGTATCCAGTCTGGTGTTGCCTGCTGTGGTCTGTTGAGTGCAGAAACCCTAATTTGCGTTTCGCGAACCCCAAGTCTATCCGCGCGTAGCCAGCAATTGCCTGAGGAGTCAGCAAGTTGGTAACTAGTCACATTTGGCGAGGAGCCAGCAGTGGGCAAGAAGCGAGCCGCGATTGGCATTTAAATTTCACAGCAAGCAGTCAGCAAGCACTCAGCAAGCAGTCAGACATGGGGACCGAGCGCAAGCGTAAGATCAGTCTCTTCGACGTTCCGCCGGAGACGAGCCGTCAGAAGGTGGACGGATTCGCAGATGCGACGTCGGCGGCGGCGGCTGTAATCGCCGCGGCGTCGGCGAATGTAATGGCCGCGGCGGCGGCGACGACGATAAACCCGTATAACGGCCGGCCGTACACGCAGCGGTATTTCGACATTCTGGAGAAGCGGAAAACGCTGCCGGTGTGGCAGCAGAAGCAGGAATTCGTGGATCTGTTGAAGAAGCAGCAGATCATCGTGCTCGTGGGAGAGACGGGTAGCGGGAAGACCACGCAGGTAAGTGATTGCCGCTTGCTTGGTTGGTTTATTCTGTAATTAATCCCGTGAAACCGTTGGTTTGTTGAAGAAGCAGCAGATCATCGTGCTCGTGGGAGAGACGGGTAGCGGGAAAACCACGCAGGTTAGTAATCGTCGCTCGGTCTACTATATGATAGGGTTCGTGAATGTTGCTGATTTGCCAAGAAGCAGCAGGTCTTCGTGCTCGTGGGAGAGACGGGTAGCGGGAAAACCACGCAGGTTAGTGGTCGGTGCGTGCTTGGCCGACGCCCTGATGAAACCCTTGAAATCGCCGATCTTGTGAGATTTCCTGAGGAGCTTTCTAGACGCAGGTGGTGTGCACGTGTTTGAGATGCTTGAGTGGAGTGTCTGAACGCGTCGTCCTCCCCTGCAATTGCCTCGTCCTTCCCTTCCGAACCAGAATTCGCAATTCGTCGTGGAGTGTCTGAACGCGACGCCTAAGAAGCAGGTGGCGTGCACGCATTTGCGACGCTTCCGCGCTCACCTTAACCCCTTTCTCCCTATAAATCGTACCGTCCCAGATCCCGCGATTCGTGGTGAAATATTTGAACGCGACGAACAAGAAGCAGGTGGCGTGCACGCAGCCGCGGCGGGTGGCCTTTCAGTCCTCTTAGAACGTCCCTCCATCCCCTGTAATGCAATTCCGCGTCTTCCCAAGCACACGTATGTCTGGGCGCTACGAACAAGAAGCAGGTGGCGTGTACGCAGTTGGGGTTGTTCATTCGTCTCAAAACTTACCCCTCTTTACATTTCCCCCTCGTCTTTGAATTCCAATATCGCAGATTCCGCAATTCGTGGTGGAGTGTCTGAACGCGACGCACAAGAAGCAGGTGGCGTGCACGCAGCCGCGGCGGGTGGCGGCGATGTCGGTGTCGCGGCGAGTGGCGGACGAGATGGACGTGACCATCGGCGAGGAGGTGGGCTACTCCATCCGATTCGAGGACTGCAGCGGGCCCAAGACCAGCCTCAAGTGAGTTTCTGGAAGTCAAGCTTCGAGTGAATCTGTGGCCTTGTGGTAGACTCAAAAGGACTGCAGCGGGCCCAAGACCAGCCTCAAGTGAGTCTGCCCAAAACCAGCCTCAAGTGAGTTGTTTTAGTGTGGGCTGGTCGTCAAGCCTCAAGTGGGTTAAGCTGTTTACGGGTAGGGTAGGCTGTGCGAAGAGCAGGCTAGTGGCGGACGAGATGGATGTGACGATCGGCGAGGAGGTGAGCTGCTCCATTCGATTCGAGGACTGCAGCTGACCGAGAAGCCATGGCGGACCCCCTATTGGAGCGTTACAAGGCGATCATCCTGGACGAGGCGCACGAGCGCACTGCCTCACTCCCCTCCCCTTTCTTCCCCTCTTCCCCGTCCCTCCCATCCACCCCGTTACAGGTATCTGACCGACGGTATGTTGCTAAGAGAGGCCATGGCGGACCCCCTGTTGGAGCGGTACAAGGCGATCATTCTGGACGAGGCGCACGAGCGCACGCTGGCGACGGACGTGCTGTTTGGGCTGCTCAAGGCCGTGCTGGAGCACCGGAAAGACTTGAAGCTCGTGGTCATGAGCGCCACTCTCGAGGCCGAGAAGTTCCAAGGCTACTTCCACGGCGCTCCCCTCATGAAGGTCCCCGGCAGGCTGCACCCCGTTGAGATCTTCTACACTCAGGTGGGAAAGGGAAGGGGGGAAGGAGGAAGGGGAGGGTGGGGGGTGCATATGGGGTAGAGTGCCAAGGGGGAGTGTTTGCTGGCAGGCTGCACCCTGTTGAGATTTTCTACACACAGGTGAGGTGGGCGGTGGAGAAGGGATGGGGATGGGAATGGGGGAAGGGAAGGGGAGAAGTTCCAAGGCTACTTCCACGGCGCGCCCCTCATGAAGGTCCCTGGAAGGCTGCATCCGGTCGAGATCTTCTACACGCAGGTGGGCAGGGGAAGGGGGAGGAGGAGGCAGGGGAAGGAGGATAGGGTGAGATGAGATTCCCCCTGTTCCACTTCCTGATTCGTTGCACGGCGGTGCAGGTCCACACGTGTGAGCTTCCAAAGGGGATATTTAACCTCATATTTTTCACTCCCCTTCCTCCGCCTTCCCCCCTTCCCCTCCCCTCCCCCCCCACCCCCTGAGGAGCCTGAGCGGGACTATCTAGAGGCAGCCATCCGCATGGTGGTGCAGATCCACATGTGTGAGCCTTCAGGTGCGGGACTATCTAGAGGCCTATCTGGTGGTGTGGTGGTATTCACGCATGTGCGGGACTATCTAGAGGATAGGGAATACCCCCCTCATTTCCTATTCTCTATCCTCCTTCCAACCCACCAGGAGCCAGAGCGGGACTATCTGGAGGCGGCCATCCGCACGGTGGAGCAGATCCACATGTGTGTGTGTGTGAGCCACCTTCAATGGGGATATCCCCCTCTCTTGTTACCCCTCCTCCCCCACCTTCCCCTTTACAGGAACCAGAGCGGGATTATCTAGAAGCGGCCATCCGCACGGTGGTGCAGATCCACGCGTGTGAGCCGCCGGGGGACATTCTCTTCTCGTGTAACCCCTTCATTCCCTCCCCCACCCACTCCACAGGAGCCTGAAAGGGACTACCTAGAGGCCGCCATCCGCAGAGTGGTGCAGATCCACGCGTGTGAGCCGCCGGGGGACATTCCCCCTTATCCCCTCTCTCATTCGCACCCCACACTCCCCTTCCCTCCAACAGGAGCCGGAGCGGGACTACCTGGAAGCCGCCATTCGCACGGTGGTGCAGATCCACGCGTGTGAGCCTTCAAAGGAAAGGTCCCCTTTATCCCCCTCGCTCATTCGTTCCACTCCACACTCTCATGCACCTCCCCTTTCCCCCCAACAGGAACCAGAACGGGACTATCTAGAGGCAGCCATTCGCACGGTGGTGCAGATCCACGCGTGTGAGCCGCCGGGGGACATTCTCGTGTTCCTGACGGGGGAGGAGGAGATTGAGGACGCGTGCAAGAAGATCGCCCGCGAGGTGCAGAACATGGGCGACCAGGTCGGCCCCATCAAGGTCGTCCCGCTCTACTCCACTCTGCCGCCCGCCATGCAGCAGAAAATCTTCGACGCCGCCCCGCCGCCCGCGAAAGAGGGCGGGCCGCCCGGGCGGAAAATCGTAATTTCGACAAACATCGCGGAAACCTCCCTCACGATCGACGGAATCGTCTATGTCATCGATCCGGGATTCTCCAAGCAGAAGGTCTATAACCCTAGGATTCGCGTCGAATCCCTCCTCGTCTCCCCGATTTCGAAAGCCTCGGCGCACCAGCGGGCGGGTCGAGCCGGCCGAACGCAGCCCGGGAAATGCTTCCGGCTCTACACCGAACGCTCCTTCCAAAAAGACCTCCAGGAGCAGACCTACCCGGAGATCCTCCGATCGAACCTCGCGAACGTCGTGCTAACCCTAAAAAAGCTCGGGATCGACGATCTCGTGCACTTCGACTTCATGGATCCGCCCGCCCCGGAAACCCTGATGAGAGCGTTAGAGCTGTTGAACTACCTGGGGGCGCTGGACGATGAGGGGAATCTGACGAAGCTGGGCGAGCTCATGAGCGAGTTCCCTCTCGACCCGCAGCTGTCCAAGATGCTCGTCGTGTCGCCGGATTACAACTGCTCAAACGAAATCCTCTCGGTTACGGCTATGCTCTCAGGTTGGTTGGGTCGTTGGGTGGCTGGTTGATTGGTTGGTTCATCGGTTGGGTTGGGTCGTTAGTTGGTTGACTGGCTGGTTTGTCTGTTGGTTTCATTGGTTATGTTGCTTGCGTGTGCTGGGGTATGATTTCGGATGTTTGTTGGTTGGTAAGTTTGTTTCGCCTGTCATAAAGTTTTTAGTCATAGTGTCTGCTGCTATATTAGCACCATCGACTGCAGTAGGAGCAACCATCTATTGTGACTTGATTGTTTTTTGTCAGCCTCACTGCGAATCGCACCTAACCCCCCCACTTGCAGTGTGTTGCTTTTGCTCTCTCTCCGCCTCGTCTGCTACTGCAGGAGGACCCCTCTACATGCACTCCCCCTATTGTCACCACCACCGCTACTACTCCTGTCACCTTCCTAAACTCGACCTAATCATCCCTCTCGTTCCTTCCGCTCCTCCGCTGCTGCTACCGCCCGTACCTACATGCTGACACACCGGACCTGTTGCCGAACCACGATGCTGCTCGAATTGCTGAAACTTGAAACTTGGCTGCCCATGGGGATTCATGTCTACCTACCTCTTCCTCCTCCTCCTCTGCCTCCTCCTCGACTGCCAACCTCGACCGCACTGCACCACTTCCACTCGCCGACACTTCACTGATCAGTGCCCAACTGCTTCATTCGCCCGCGGGAGGCACAGAAGCAGGCGGACGAGGCCAAGGCGCGCTTCTCCCACGAGGATGGCGACCACCTCACTCTGCTCAACGTGTTTCACGCCTACAAGCAGAACGGTGAGTCCTGTGGGCGGCTATGGAGGGATCTGGCGGCGTCTTGCATGTGTACAAACAAACAAGACGCGTTGTGCAGTCAGAGGCAGGCGGACGCGGCCAAGGCGCGCTTCTCTTCTCTCACGAGGACGGCGAGGCGACCATCATGGTGTGCTGAAGATGGTCTCAAGATGGGCTATGGGCTCAAGATGTGAATGATGTGTGCGCATCGATTTTTCGGTACGGGCTCCTCGTGGGCTTACCATGTGCTCCACTCATCCGCTCCCTCCGGTACCACACCACCAGGCGAGGACCCCAGCTGGTGCTACGACAATTTCGTGAACGCACGAGCCCTGAAGGCTGCTGATAACGTGCGCAACCAGCTGGTGCGCATCATGATGCGCTACGGGCTCGAAACTCATCATCACTCCTCCCGTCATGCACCTTGCTCACCACACCACCAGGGGAAGACGCTAGCTGGTGCTACGACAACTTTGTCAATGCGCGGGCACTCAAGGCTGCTGATAACGTGAGGAACCAACTGGTGCGCATCATGATGCGCTACGGCCTCAAGATGTGCTCCACGGCGTTTGAGTCGTCCGCCTACTACCCCAACATCCGCAAGGCGCTTCTATCTGGCTTCTTCATGCAGGTACGGGGTGGGGAGGGAGGTGGGTGTTGAGGGGGAGGGGTGTTAGCAGCTAGCTGTATGTGATGATGAGCATTGGCGAGTGGTGGGTGTGGGGGCGGAATGGGGAGAAGAGGGTGGAGGGGGGCTGGGTGCGTGTGCGCTTTGAGAATTCTAATAGCGATTCCAGTAACTCCACCAACCTCCCCACCTCCCCTCCCCATCCCCACCTCCCCTCCCCTTCCCCATCGTTTCTCCGCTCTCTTTCTTGCTGTTGTGGAGTCTCCCCCTCTCCTTTACCTGTGCTCCCCCTTACCTCTTCCCCACTCTTTCCTTTGCGCCGCATCTCATTTCCCTCTGGCCCACTTTTTATTTCAATTAGTGCCACGTCTCTGTAACCTGAAATCTGTCCCCCATGCATGCACCCCCCGTTTCCCCCTACTCCCCCCCATGCGTGCACCCCTATCCTCTCCTTCTTGCTGCCTCTCAGGTGGCACATTTGGAAAGGACAGGGCACTACCTGACAGTGAAGGATAATCAGGTGAGCCACGCAATTAGGGTGGGCAGCGTTTAGTGAGGAGTACTTAGTGAGGAGTACTTAGTGATCACCTCTTGATGTGAGTTCACTGCAAGCTTGTTTGTCTTCACCAGGTCTCTTCTCATCTCAGCATCCCACCTCTCCTTTGTGGCCTCTCCACTTTCCCACACTAACGAGGTGACTTTTGAGTCGACTCAAAAGTTACCTACCTCAAAAGCAGACTCGGTTGTCTTCACCGGGTCTCGTCTCATTTCAGCATCCCACCAATCCTTTGTGGCCTCTCCGCTTTCACCCACGTTTTTTAGTCGACTCTGTTTTTGAGTCGACTCAAAAACTGATGTGAGGTCACTGCAAGCTTGGTTGTCTTCACCAGGTCTCGTCTCATCCCAACATCCCACCTTTCCTTTGTGGCCTCTCCGCTTTCACCCATCCTCCCTCTCCCCCCTCGTCTCTCCCCCCTCTCCCTGTGCAGATCGTGCATCTGCACCCATCCACAGGCCTGGCCCACAAGCCAGAGTGGGTGATCTACAACGAGTTTGTGCTCACCACCAGGAACTTCATTCGCGTTGTCACCGACGTCAAGGGCGACTGGTGCGTGTGTGGTGGTGGTAGGGGTGTCTGGTGCGTGTGTTGGGGGGATAAGGGTGACTTGTGCGTGCGCGGTGGTGGTAGGGGCAAGTTGTGCATGTGGGGGATTTGCAGAGTGGGTAGTCTACACCCACCTACATCAGCGAGTTTGTACTCACCACCCGGAACTTCGTCCGCGTTGTCACCAACGTCAAGGGCAACTGGTGTGTGTGGGAAAGGGGGGGTGGGGGAGGGGTTTGGGGGGGGGGGGGGGAAGGAGGAGGGGGGTGTTGCCGGTGGGTGTTTTGCATCTGGGGGGGAGATTGTGCACCTGCCTGCATCCGTGCACGGGGCTGACACACAAGCCAGAGTGAGTCACTCTGGTCAGAGTGGCAGGGGCGACTGGTAGGTGTGTGTGCATTTACAGTAAGTTTGTGCCCTCCCCTCCAACCATCTCTCCTCTCCCTCCTCTACCTTCAAGCAGGTTACTCGACATCACCCCTCACTACCACAACTTGGCAACTTTCCACAGTACCATCCAATCTTTTCATTGCCCTCCCCTCTAACTGTCGTTCCTCTCCCTCCTCTACCCCACCAGGCTACTGGACATCGCCCCTCACTACTATGATTTGGCCAACTTCCCTCAGTGCGAGGCGCGGCGGGTTTTGGAGCGCATTGTTCTCGTGCGCAACCGGGACAGAGTCGAGGCAGCTAAAAAGGGGGACAGTTAGTCCACACTCTGGAAAGATTTGGGTTTAGTAGGTTCACCTGTTTGTCGCAGCATGGCTAAGGTGTGGGGGGCTCTGACAAAAGGCTCTTACAAATGTGTCTGCTCTCCAAGGAAAGAGGCGTGACTACACTCCATGTGCCTGATCAAGAGTGTTATCCTGCAAGCAGAAATCAACGGCAAGTTGTGTGCGGTGTAACCATAGGAAGCAAAGAAATATTGTACCGCCGTACTGTGGTACGATGAGTACGTATTGTAAGTACTCATCGGCTTGTTGACCCTGTCTACACAACTCAGTCCGGTCCATTGAAAGTGGGCCTTTTTTTAGCATTATTCCTTGTGTTGATTCAACCCTTATAGCCTTGTTTGCTGAGAGGAAGCGACAGATGGCAGGAGTGCCCACAAAAGAGATGTCCACTACAAGCATGTGGTGTTATGGGACTTTTCCTCCTAATCAAACTCTCAAAAAAACCTTTGGTTGTGTAGAAAGTTTTGGCATTGTCACATCATTGCCAAGTCCCATCCTCAGAAAACACTCACGTGCCGAACCAGCTTGCCACTGCTCGTTTTACCAGAGCCCACAGACTCGCCAGGCTCCACCAGACAGATCCCCTATTGTTCGATGTTGGTTGGTTGCCTGAAGTTGGTTGAATGCTAGGACTTGTTACAATATATATTGTGTAGCATGCCAACACATGTGACTGTACACCAATTGTGGTGTACAGTTGGGTTGGGACTACACCCAACTTTGGGTGTAGTCTTGCACTTTGGGGTGCCAATCCACCCAATTGTGATGGAGCCCCCAAATGCAACCCTCTTGACTTGTGGGTACCTCACTTCCCACAATTGAGGTTACCCCAAGCCAAGTGGGCCTAGGGTTGCCTCACTTCTACAAAGTGTGGGCAACCCAACCCACTTGACCTATGGTTCCCTCACTTCCCCAAGTGAGGTCAACCCAACCTATGGTCACTTTCATCCTTCCCTTCCAACCTTCCCTTCCAACTATGTATGCTAGGTTGTTCCTCTAATCTGATGACTTGTTCAATTTGCTACTTTCACATGGTATAGAGCTACTTGTTCCTAGGCCTTACCTCTCCCTCCCTTCAGTTTTTTTTTTTTTCCCATGGGCCCACCCCACAGCTACAAACCCTTTCCTACGCGTGGCTCAACTAGCCATCACTAGCATACTCTCGCCGCGACCTACGCCGTCGCCGCCGTTCCCCCCCCCTCCCGCCGCGATTACGCCTTCCTCGCCTGCGGATTCCACCGCCGCGAGCGCAACGCCGCTGTCCCCTCCTCCCCCCTGCCGCGACCCCCTGTCGCCGCCTCCCCTTCTCGCCGCCGCGCCTGATTCGGCGCCGCCTGCGCATCCTGCCGCCGCGACGCCTCGTCGCCGCCTGCCCGCTGCCCGTCCCTCCGCCGCGACGTCACGTCGCCGCGTTCCCGCCGCCGCGCCTGCAACGGCGCCGCCTGCGCATCCTGCCGCCGCGACGCCTCGTCGCCGCCTGCCCGTCCCTCCGCCGCGACGTCTCGTCGCCGCGTTCCCGCCGCCGCGCCTGCTTCGGCGCCGCCTACGCATCCTGCCGCCGCGACGCCTCGTCGCCGCCTGCCCGTCCCTCCGCCGCGACGTCTCGTCGCCGCGTTCCCGCCGCCGCGCCTGCTACGGCGCCGCCTGCGCATCCTGCCGCCGCGACACCTCGTCGCCGCCTGCCCGTCCCTCCGCCGCGACGTCTCGTCGCCGCGTTCCCGCCGCCGCGCCTGCTTCGGCGCCGCCTGCGCATCCCGCCGCCGCGACGCCTCGTCGCCGCCTGCCCGTCCCTCCGCCGCGACGTCACGTCGCCGCCTCCCCTTCCCGCCGCCGCGCCTGCTTCGGCGCCGTCTGCCCGTCCCGCCGCCGCGACAGCTCGTCGCCCCCTGCCCGTCCCGCCGCTGCGACCTAACATCGCCGCCTGCGCATTCCGCCGCCGCGACTGCTCGTCGTCACCTCCCCGCCCCCCACCCCCCCCCCCCCCCCCCCCCCCCCCCCCCCCCCCCCCCCGCCGCGATTTCGCATTGCCGCCTCCCCTCCCACCGCCGCACCTGCTTCCGCGTCACCCACGCATCTCGCTGCCCCTTCTGCATCGCCACCCTCCCGCAATTTCCCCCGCCGCAACTGCAACATCGTCGCCCCGCGGTTCCCGTTAACGCCACTGCGCCGCCGCCGCCCTACCGCCGCAACTGCTTCGGCGCCGTCTGCCCATCCTCCACCGCGACCGCGCCATCCCCGCCCACACTTCCTGCCGCCGTGACTGCCCCGTCGCCGCCTGCAGATTCAGCCGCAACTGCACCCTCCCTTCCTCCTCTCCCTACTCCTCTCCCCCCCCCTCCCCCTCCCCCTGCGCCCCTCGTTGCCGCGGCCTGCCTGCCGCCGCCGTCCCTCGTTTCGCCGCCGCGGCCCTTCCGCCGTCGCCTGCGCCCCTCGTCGTCGCGGCCTGCTCGCCGCCGCCGCCCCCGACTTTGCCACCGCCTCCCCTTCCCGCCGCCGCACGTTCGCACAGCCGCCTGCGCCCTTGTCACCGTCGCTCCCTGCACCTTGAACGCCTCTGCCCTCCACCGCCGTCCCTCGTTTCGCCGCCGCGGCCCTTCCGCCGTCGCCTGCGCCCCTCGTCGCCGCGGCCTGCTCGCCGCCGCCGCCCCCGACTTTGCCACCGCCTCCCCTTCCCGCCGCCGCACGTTCGCACAGCCGCCTGCGCCCTTGTCACCGTCGCTCCCTGCACCTTGAACGCCTCTGCCCTCCACCGCTGTCTCCCTCCTTTACCCCCCCCCCCCACCCCCCCCCCCCCCTCCCTCCTCCTGCCAGCGGCAGCAGCAGCGGCAGCAGGGGAAGTGCAGCAGCCTCCGCAGCAGCAACTTCACCCTTGGCCGCCGCGGGTCCACCCGCCGTCGCCCATCATGACTGCTACCCCCCCTGCCCCTCTCCCCCCTCCTCACTGGAGCAGTGTTACTCCTCGCCCCTCCCTTCTCAACACTCCGACCCTCCACTCCTCCCCCCCCCCTTATCTCCGCCTGCTCACCCCCTCCCCCCCTCCCCATCTGCGGCGTTTCCAGCAGCTCCAGCATCAGCAGCAGCAGGACTTCCAGCAGCGGCAGCAACCACAATTTCTCCAGCCGCACCCCCCACATCTCCTCCAGCCGCGGCAATCGCAGCAGCAGCAGTTCTTCCAACACCAACAGCAGCCGCAATCTCTCCAGCCTCACCCGCCACAGTTTCTCCATCCCCAGCAGCAGCAGTCCTTCCAGCCGCAGCAGCGGCAGTCCTTCCAGCAGCAGCAGCTGCCACAGTTCCTTCCACCGCAGCAGCAGCAGTCCTTCCTGCAGCAGCAGCAGCCACAGTCTCTTCAGCCGCAGCAGCAGCAGTGCTTCCAGCAGCAGCAGCTGCCACAGTTCCTTCCGCCGCAGCAGCAGCAGTCCTTCCAGCAGCAGCGGCAGCCACAGTTTCTTCAGCCGCAGCAGCAGCAGTGCTTCCAGCAGCAGCACCAGCCACAGTTCTCTCCATCCGCAGCAGCAGCAGTGCTTCCAGCAGCAGCAGCCACCACAATCTCTCCAGCCGCAGCAACCGCGGCAGCATCGGCGGTGCTTCCAGCAGCAGCAGCAGCCCAATCTCTCCAGCCGCAACCGTCACAGTCTCTCCCACCGCAGCAGCCGCAGCAGCAACAGTACTTACAGCAGCAGCACCCGCCGCTCTCTCCCTCTTCTATCCATGAAACAACTCTCCAGTACTCTGTGTTCCCTCCCTCTCCTTCCCCCCCCACCCTGGACTTTGTCCTTGACAGTGGGGCCACCGAAACTGCACTAAAAGACGCTGGCACCCTCACCCCCCTTCCACTTCCCACCCAGGTTCATGGTGCCGACTCCAGCCTTTCCATCCCCTGCACTCACCTCTCCACCCTTCCTTGCACCGCCTTCCCATCCGGTACAGTCACCGGTCTCCACATCCCTACCCTTCGCAATAACCTCCTCTCCCACCGTGAACTCCAAGGCGTTGGCATTACCGCCATATACCCTGGCTTTGCTTCCTACTGTGATCTCTACCACACCGCCTCTGGTCGTTTCCTCCTGCGCATTCCCCTTTGCCCTCGCACTCGCCTTTACACGCTCCGCACACCCCGTCCCTCCTTTTGTCACATCACCACTCGTGCTGGTACTTCCACCGGTCCCCTTCTCCCTCCCCCTCACCCTCCCCCTCCCCCTCCTCCGATATCCTCCTCCTCTACTCCATCCGCCTCCTCCTCCCCCCCCAACTTTTCCCCCACCCCATCCCCCTCCTCCTCTACTGCCCTCTCCCATCCTGCAGTGCTCCTACATCACAGACTCGGCCATCCCAACTTCGCCGCACTTCGCTCCACCGTCACCTCTCGCCTCCTTAACAGCCTTCCTCCCACCTTACCTCCCCTCCCCTCCTCCCCTGCTCCCCCATGCCCATCATGCATTCATGGCAAGCTCAAACAGTCCCCCCATCACAGTCATCCCACCTTCGCTCCCGCCCCCATTGACCTTGTTCACATGGATCTCTGGGGCCCTTATCCCATCCGCTCCCGTCAGGGGCACAGGTACATGCTCGTGCTCGTCGACGACCACAGTCGGTACTCCACCGTCTTCTTTCTTCACATGAAAGACCAGGTGCCGGCTGTGGTCATCAACTGGGCTGAGCAGTGCCGCAACCACTTCAAACGTCCCATAGGCCGCCTTCACTCTGACGGTGGGGGTGAGTTCATCAATCATACTCTCTCCACTTACTGCAAAACATACGGCATTCAGCAGACCACCACCCTTCCCCACTCCCCTCAGCAAAACGGCATCGCTGAGAGTCGCATCCGTGAGATCACCAAGATTGCGCGCTGCCTCATTGCTCACGCCTCCACCCCTCCCTCCCTCTGGAGCTATGCCCTCATTCATGCCGCCCTCCTCCTCAATCTCCGCTCCCACCCTCAGCATCCCTCCTCCTCCCCCACAGAACTCTGGTCCAAGGCCAAGCCTGACGCCGCAGGCCTTCGTGTTTGGGGCTGCAAGGCGTTCGTCCTCATTCCACCGGCCGACCGCTCCCGCGCTGCTGGCAAGCTCGCTCCTCGCGCTCTGGAGTGCGTCTACCTTGGGCACAATCGTGATTCCCCAGGCTACCTATTCCTCCACCCTCCCACCAATCGCCTCATCCGCAGCATTGACGTCGTCTTCGACGAGTCCACTCCCTACTACTCCACCCCTCCTCCTGACCCCCTCCCTCCTCCCACTCGCCCCCTCGCTTGGACCGACACCATCCTCCCGCCTCTTATCCCTCCAGCGCCTCTCCTCCCACCTGTCGCCGCCCCACTCCCGCCTTCCTCCTCTGCCGACGTCTACGACCCTGCCGCACCCGCCTCCCCCGCTCACTCAGCTGCACCCCCTCCCCCCTCTCCCTCCTCCTCTCATTCTCCTCCTTTCCAGCAGCCGGATCAGCAACAGCAGGGGCAGCAGCAGCAGCAGCAGCAGCCGGATCAGCAACAGCAGGGGCAGCAGCAGCACCAGCAGCAGCAGCAGCAGCAGCAGCGGGAGCAACACCAGCAACGGCAGCAGGGGCAGCAGCAGCAGCAGCCGGGGCAGCAGCAGCAGCAGGAGCAGCAGCAGCAGCAGCAGCAGCCGGAGCAGCAGCAGCAGCAGCAGCAGCCGGGGCAGCCGCATCAGCAGCAGCCGGGACAGCAGCAGCAGCAGCAGCAGCAGCATCAGCATCAGCAGCACCAGCAGCAGCAGCGGCGCCGTGCCACTTCCCGCTCCTCCCCCTTCCTCCTCCCTTAGATCCATACCCGCTCGGTGGACAAAATCCTTGGGGCTCCTCCTCCTGCCTCCATTCAGCTCCTTGAGGACTCCCATGAGGAGTTCCTCAACATTCGGGAGCACAATCCATTCCTTGCCGCCCTCTACCTTGACTTCCTGGGCTTTCCTGTCCTTGGCGCCACTACTACCCCCACCATCTTCACTCCCTCCACCTTCCAGGAAGCCATCACCTGCCCTGATGCGGATAAATGGATAGCAGCGATCTTCCTGGAGTGTGAGGCCTTCATTCGCAACGACTCCTTTGTCGATGTCCCCCTCCCTGCTGGCGCTAATCTCGTTGACGGCAAATGGGTCTTTCGGGTGAAGCAGCTGCCGGGCGAGGAACCAGTGTACAAGGCCCGCTACTGCGCCAAGGGGTTCACGCAGACTTGGGCTGAGGACTACTGGTTCACCTACGCCCCCACCGCCAAACCACCCACCCTTCGCGCCGCCATGGACATTGGTGCACGTGACGACATGGAAATCGACTCCATGGACGTCTCCAATGCGTTCCTGCAGGGCGACCTGCATGAGCGCATTTTCCTCCGGCGACCCCCCGGGTTCCACGCAGCCTTTCCTGAGAACACTGTCTGGCAGCTGCGTCGCCCCGTCTACGGCTTGAAGCAGGCACCACGTGAGTGGCATGCGAAGCTGGCTGCCACCTTGGGGTCCCTCGGCTTCTCTGCTTCCCACTCCGACGCCAGCCTCTTCATCCGCTCCTCCCCCCGCCGCTTCTTCATTCTGGTATATGTCGACGACATGATCCTGCTCTCTGACACCAAGGCCGACATGGAGCAGGTGAAGCTGTCCCTGCAGCAGCGGCTCAAGTGCAAGGACCTTGGCGCCCTCACTCACTACCTAGGCATGACCGTCACGCGCAACCGCCCTGCTCGCACAATCACCCTCTCCCAGTCCCATTACATCGGCCAGGTCTTGGAGAAGTTCGACATGGCGCAAGCCAAGCCTGTTTCCACCCCGCTCCCCTTCGGTCACCAACTCGCTCCACCCACCTCCCCCACCTCCTCCCCCCACCCCTATGCCGAGCTCGTTGGGTCCTTGATGTACGCAATGATGTGCACCCGCCCCGACCTCGCCTACCCCATCAGCGTGCTCGCTCGCTTTGTCGGCACCGGTCGTCACTCTGAGGAGCACTGGAAAGCTGCCAAGCGGGTCCTCCGCTACCTTCGCGGGACCAGGGACCTTGCCCTCACCCTCGGCGGCCCTTCCCGTCCCCTTCTCTCGGGCTTCAGTGACTCCTCATGGGTTGACACGCAGCCGGACCGCCGCTCCTCCCAGGGCTACGGCTTCACCCTTGGCAGCGGCCTCATCAGCTGGCGCTCCACCCGCTCCTCCGCCATCTCTCTCTCCACCTGCGAAGCCGAGCTCTACGCTGGCACCATGGCCGCCCAGGAGTCGCGCTGGCTCTGCTTCCTTCTTGCGGAGCTTGGCGCCCCCCAGACGTGCCCCACTCTCTGGTGCGACAACGCCAGCACCATCCATCTCACTCAGGACCCCGTCTATCACGCCCGCTCCAAGCACATCGAACTCCGCTACTTCTTCGTTCGCGAGCTCGTCCAGAAGGGCCTCATTGCCGTTCGCAAGATTGCAACCGAGGCCAACTTGGCCGACATCTTCACTAAGGCCCTCCTTCCGCCCGCGCACTCTGCCTTCCTCCGCCTCATTGGCCTTGCTCGCCCGGGCGCTCCTTGATTCAGGGGTTGTTCTCTTCTTGTGTTAGCATGCTAAAGGGTTGTGTTAAAATATATATTGTGTAGCATGCCAACACATGTGACTGTACACCAATTGTGGTGTACAGTTGGGTTGGGACTACACCCAACTTTGGGTGTAGTCTTGCACTTTGAAGTGCCAATCCACCCAATTGTGGTGGAGCCCCCAAATGCAACCCTCTTGACTTGTGGGTACCTCACTTCCCACAATTGAGGTTACCCCAAGCCAAGTGGGCCTAGGGTTGCCTCACTTCTACAAAGTGTGGGCAACCCAACCCACTTGACCTATGGTTCCCTCACTTCCCCAAGTGAGGTCAACCCAACCTATGGTCACTTTCATCCTTCCCTTCCAACCTTCCCTTCCAACTATGTATGCTAGGTTGTTCCTCTAATCTGACGACTTGTTCAATTTGCTACTTTCACAGGACTGGGTATCCTCTCTCCAGCTGCCTCGGCGCCATCCCGGTTGCGCACACGCACACCCTGATTGTTGACTTGACTTGGAAATATAGGCGGCTCATCTGTATCCTTCTTTTTAGCTGCCATGACTCTGAAACCGTTGCGCACGAGCACATGGCGCTCCAGCACCCGCCGCGCCTCGCACTGAGGGAAGTGGGCCAAGTTGTAGTAATGCGGAGCAATGTCCAATAGCCTGGTGGGTGAGTAGAGGAGGAAAAAGAAGATGGGGGATGGTGAGTCACATTGAGGAAAGGTCGTGGTAATGCGGGGCAAAGTCCAGCAGCCTGGTGGGGGAGGAGGGGGGAGAGGGAAGACGGGCAGTGAGTTGCAGCAACGGATTGAGTTGACTGAGGGAAGGTCGTGGTAGTGCGGGGCAATGTCCAGCAGCCTGTTAGGTAGCGGAATAGGAAAGAGGGCTTATTGGTGGACCCACCTGTTGAATCCCTAGTCATGGTCGAATCACCTTAGAAAAACCTTCCGGTTCGCCACGCCACATATCACACACACACACACACACACACACACACACACACACACACACACACACACACACACACACACACACACACACACACACACACACACACACACACACACACACACACACACACACACACACACACACACACACACACACACACACACACACACACACACACACACACACACACACACACACACACACACACACACACACACACACACACACACACACACACACACACACACACACACACACACACACACACACACACACACACACACACACACACACACACACACACACACACACACACACACACACACACACACACACACACACACACACACACACACACACACACACACACACACACACACACACACACACACACACACACACACACACACACACACACACACACACACACAGACACAGAGACACAGAGACACAGAGACAGACACGCACACAGACACGCACACAGACACGCACACAGACACGCACACAGACACGCACGCGCACGCGCACGCGCACGCGCACGCGCACGCGCGCGCGCGCACACACACACACACACACACACACACACACACAGACACACACACACATAGAACTCGCCCTTAATGCATGAGGCCACACATACACGATGAAGGTTCCTCAGCAATTCTATCCGGCTGCATGCATACCTACTCCTTACCAGCAAACCCCCACCTACACACTCCCTACCACCACCGCACATGCACACCACTCACCTTTACCACCACCGCACATGCACTAGTCACCCCTACCACCAACACCACCATAGGACACGCACCAGTCGCCCTTAACGTCGGTGACAACGCGTATGAAGTTTCTGGTGGTGAGTGCAAACTCGTTGTAGATCACCCACTCGGGCTTGTGCGACAGGCCTGTTGATGGATGCAGGTGCACGATCTGAAGAGGGAGAGGTTGGGAGAGGTGAGAGGGTGAAAGCAGCGAGTGACCCTGCTGATTGCAATGCAACAGCCCTGTGGACGGGACGGGTGCAAAAGCGATCTGCACAGAGGGGCACGGAAGGGGGTCAAGGAAGGGGTGGGCGGTCCATGGGCGGCTGAGAGTGTTAATACTGGCAATGTGAGGAGGGCCCTGATGAAGACAAACAAACTCGTTTGGATAGGGTCCTCAGGCTTGTGCGACAAGCCGTTTTTGGGTGATACTGTAAGTGCAAAAGCAGATGATAAAGTGCAGCCATATGAGAGAGGGTTAGCAGCACAGCAGAGAACATACTGAGAGATAAGTGTGATGATGGGTGAAAGATACACGATCAGAGAATGAGGCAGCAGGAGAAGGGTGTGTGGAAAGAAAAGAGAGTCAAGTAACAAGTGGGATGCAGGGTTGGCAGTTCAGGGTGATGTGGGGAGCACAGCCTACACATACTCGCTTATTGAAAACTATATAACCCAAAAAACAAAACAAAATTAAAAAAAAAGGATGACAAGAACAAAAACAAACGCGGAAGTAAAAATCCACTAACGAAGAGGTTATTAAAAAAAAAAAAAAAAAAAAAAAAAAAAAAAAAAAAAAAAAAAAAAAAAAAAAAAAAAAAAAAAAAAAAAAAAAAAAAAAAAAAAAAAAAACCCACTAGCACTTGCTTAGAAAAAACAAAACTCACTCAGTTACATGGTCCTTCAATGCACGATCTGCACTGCTCACAAAAAAATTGTCACAAATTAATCCATAGTGAGACGTCACTAACCCCCCATGTGCCAATTCGGCCCACCTGATTGTCTTTGACTGTCATATAATGACCCTCTCTCTCCAGATGTGCCACCTGGGAGGCAGAGATGAGAGGAGAGAGAAAAAAGGCGCGTCATACCAAACCTGGCTGGCCCACCTGATTGTGGTTCAATAGGCGTGTCACGGTACCTGACTTAGGCAGCGTGATGGCACATCTGCATGGACACTACCTCATCTCCTCATCTCCTTTCTACATGTGCCACCTGGGGGGCAGAGAGAGAAGATGGGAGGGTGCACTATGGGGTGAGAGGCGAGTGAAGAGGGGTGCACATATGGCAAGCGAGAGGAGAGGAAGGGGATGCACATACGGGGAAAGCAGAGGGAAAACGAAGGAGCAAAGGGGACAGCAGAGAGGGTTATGACGAATAAAAAATATGACATACATGATACATGTCTGAGAGACGTGCGGCAGAGGGAAAGGAGATATGGGAAATAGATAAGCGGAGGAGAGTGAAGGAGACTGTACAAGAACGGAGAAAAAAGTGCAGAGATGAAGAGGGAGAGGGATGGGGAAAGGGGGCATGTTCCTTCCTTCACTTCTCTCCCTTAACTTTCTCCCACTTATCCGCGCCTTACGCTCCCAGCATAAACTTTCCCCCCCAATTCCACACGCCCACACGATTACATGAAACGCACGCTCACATACGTGCAAACCATACCCACATCCACACAAGCATAACGACGACACACACACACACACACGCACGCCCACAAACACACGCACGCCCACACACACACGCACGCCCACACACACACGCACGCCCACACACACACGCACGCCCACACACACACGCACGCCCACACACACACGCACGCCCACACACACACGCACGCCCACACACACACGCACGCCCACAAACACACGCACGCCCACACACACACGCACGCCCAAACACACACGCACGCCCACACACACACGCACGCCCACACACACACGCACGCCCACACACACACGCACGCACTTGTCTCCACCCCTCACCTGCATGAAGAAGCCAGAGAGCAGCGCCTTGCGGATGTTGGGGTAGTAGGCGGACGACTCAAACGCCGTGGAGCACATCTTGAGGCCGTAGCGCATCATGATGCGCACCAGCTGGTTCCGCACGTTGTCCGCTGCTTTCAGGGCTCTGGCGTTGACGAAGTTGTCGTAGCACCAGCTGGGGTCCTCGCCTGGTGATATGGTGAGTAAGGGGATCAAAAGGTATGGGAGAGTAAGAGTGAGGGGGCCACATCTTGAGCCCGTAGCGCATCATGATTTGCACCAGCTGGTTGCGCACGTTGTCCGCCATTCTCAGAGCCCGGGCGTTCAAGAAATGATCATGGCACCAGCTGGGATCTTCGCCTGGTGGAACAGGGAAAGGGGGAGGAGAGAGGTACAGTCAAAGCCCATCCGAGCACCAGCAGCTTGCGCACCTTTACCGCCACTCCAATGCCACAGATTTCACAAAAATGGGCCTTGCACCAGGTGGAGTATTTGCCTAAGGACACGGAAGTGGGAGAATTAGTGGTACTTGTGAGGTCAGAGCACCATTTGGCTGCGCACTTAGCCTGCTGCCTTTTTTTGAGTCGACTCAAAACAAAGTGGTACTGGTGAGGTGGTGAGGTCAGGGCACCAGCTGGTTGCACAATTAGCCTGCTGCCTTGGGCGATTGCAAAGTTAGCACCAACTGGGGTCCTCCCGTCACAAAGTCTACCCGCTCACTGGTCTGCCTGTACGCATGGAGGCTACATGCAAGGAGGCTATCCCAGACCCCCCCATATGCAAGGAGGCTCTTTTCGAGGCAAAGCGTTTTCGACATCCACTATTTCTAAGTTAATCCTGTTGCGCATGCGTTTCGTTCACACACTGCAGCCTTTCTACAATGAGCAAACAAGGCACTCACCGTTCTGCTTGTACGCGTGGAAGACGTTGAGCAGAGTGAGGTGAGGTGAGGCGGTCACCATCCTCGTGGGATTAGTTCGACTTGGCCTCGTCCGCCTGCCTCTGACTCAAACGAACCACCACTTGACAAACACACACCCACTTGCCTGCCTGTACACTGCAAGTCGTCTCAGGAAGCTCACCGTTCTGCTTGTAGGCGTGAAACACGTTGAGCAGAGTGAGGTGGTCGCCATCCTCGTGGGAGAAGCGTGCCTTGGCCTCGTCCGCCTGCTTCTGTGCCTCCCGCGGACGAATGAAGCAGTTGGGCACTGATCAGTGAAGTGCCGGCCAGTGAGAGTGGTGCAGCGTGGATGAGGTTGGCAGGTGAAGAGGAGGCACAAATCGGTAGGGAGAATGATGGAGAGGCAACAGGCCCGGTGTGTCAGCATGTAGGTACGGGCGGTGGCAGCAGCGGAGGAGCGAAAGGAATCATTAGGTCGAGTTTAGGAAGATGATGGGACAATAGGGGTGGTGTATGTAGGGGGTTCCTCCTGCAGTAGCAGAAGAGGCAGAGAGATTTGAAGGAACACACTACACGCGGGATGGTTAAGTGCGATACAGAATGAAGCTCACAGAATACAAACAACAGTAAAATTTCTTTCTGGGTGCATTCAATGGTGCTATTATAGCAGCAGACACCAATGGTGAAAACTTGTTGACAGTAAAGCACACAAAACAACCAAAACACCGACCAACCAACCAACCTGAGAGCATAGCCGCAATCGAAAGGATCTCATTGGAGCAGTTGTAATCTGATGACACCACGACCATCTTGGACAGCTGCGGGTCCAATGGAAACTTGCCCATGAGTTCCCCCAGCTTCGTCAGATTCCCCTCATCGTCCAGCGCCCCCAGGTAGTTCAACAGCTCCAGCGCTCGCATTAGGGTCTCCGGGGCCGGAGGATCCATGAAGGGAAAATGCACCAAATCGTCAACCCCGAGCGTTTTCAGAGTCAGGACAACACCCGCGAGGTTCGATCGGAGGATCTCCGGGTAGGTTTGCTCCTGGAGGTATTTTTGGAAGGAGCGTTCGGTGTAGAGACGGAAACATTTCCCGGGCTGCGTTCGGCCAACTCTACCTGCCCGTTGGTGCGCCGAGGCTTTCGAAATCGGGGAGACGAGGAGCGACTCAACACGGATCCTCGGATTATAGACCTTCTGCTTGGAGAATCCCGGGTCGATCACGTACACTATGCCGTCAATAGCAAATGCAGTCTCTGCGATGTTTGTGGAAATCACGATTTTGCGCCCGGGCGGCCCGCCTTCTTTCACGGGCGGCGGGGCAGCATCATAGATTTTCTGCTGCATGGCGGGCGGCAGAGTGGAGTAGAGCGGGACGACCTTGACGGGGCCGACCTGGCGATCTTCTTGCACGCGTCCTCAATCTCCTCCTCCCCCGTCAGGGACACGAGAATGTCCCCCGGCGGCTCACACGCATGGATCTGCACCACCGTGCGAATGGCTGTTTCTAGATAGTCCCGCTCTGGTTCCTATGGTGGGCAAGAGTGGAGTGCGGGGTGCGAATGAGAGAGGGGATGAGGGGGACAGCGGCTCACACATGTGAATCTGCACCACCGTGCAAATGGCCGCCTCCAGTTAGTCCCGCTCAGGTTTCTAGGGGGGTTGAAAGGGGGAGAGGGGGGAGGATGGAAGGGGAAAGGGAGTGTGGGGTGGAACGAATCAGTGAAGAAGACAAGGAAGGGGGTATCCTCTTTGGAGGATTACACATGTGGACCTGCACCTCCGTGGAACAAATCGATGAGTGGGATGTGGGGGAACTTACGCCCTCATTCCTCATACGGTATATGCACCCCCCCCTCTCCCGCTTCCCCCCTGTCCCCTCCCTTGCCCCCCTCCTCTGCCCACCTGCGTGCAAAAAAAACTCCACCGGATGCAGCCTGCCAGGAACCTTCATGAGGGGCGCGCCGTGGAAGTAGCCTTGGAACTTCTCCCCTTCCCTTCCCCCATTCCCATCCCCATCCCTTCCCCCCCACCCCCGCCCACCTGCGTGTAAAAGATCTCAACGGGGTGCAGCCTGCCGGGGACCTTCATGAGGGGAGCGCCGTGGAAGTAGCCTTGGAACTTCTCGGCCTCGAGAGTGGCGCTCATGACCACGAGCTTCAAGTCTTTCCGGTGCTCCAGCACGGCCTTGAGCAGCCCAAACAGCACGTCCGTCGCCAGCGTGCGCTCGTGCGCCTCGTCCAGGATGATCGCCTTGTACCTCTCCAGTACAGGGTCCGCCATGGCCTCTCTCAAGAGCTTGCCGTCTGTCAGATACCTGGTCATGGTGAGGAAGGTATAGAGGAGCAGAGTTAGCGGTCGATTGCCTTGAACCGCTCAAGCAGGGGGTTCGCCATGGCTTCTCTTAACAGCTTGCGTGAGTGAGGTACCTGACTCGAATCGAAAGAGGTGGGGGCAAAAGGAAGGGGATGATCGTCCTTAAAGGTGACGCAAACACCTCCAGGAGGGTAGCACTCAGTTGCGGCTGCCTTCCATCCCTGCTCTTTGCACAACCTACCCTAACCATACGTACCCTCACTATACACAGTCTCACTTGAGGCTGGTTTTGGGCCCGCTGCAGTCCTCGAATCAAAGACTCACTTGAGGCTGGTCTTGGGCCCACTCACTTGAGGCTGGTCTTGGGCCCGCTGCAGTCCTCGAATCGGATGGAGTAGCCCACCTCCTCGCCGATCGTCACGTCCATCTCGTCCGCCACTCGCCGCGACACCGACATCGCCGCCACCCGCCGCGGCTGCGTGCACGCCACCTGCTTCTTGTGCGTCGCGTTCAGACACTCCACCACGAATTGCGGGATCTGCGTGGGAAGATGCAGAATTGCATGGAAGGGGAGGAAAGTTCTAGGACGACGCGAAAGCCACTCGCCGCGGCTGCGTGCACGCCACCTGCTTCTTGTGCGTCGCGTTCAGACACTCCACCACGAATTGCGGGATCTGGTTGGGAAGACGCGGAAGTGCATTGCAGGGGAGGAAAGTTCGAGGTCTAAGACAGCTCAGAAGCCACCCGCCGCGGCTGTGTGCACGCCACCTGCTTCTTGGCCGTCGCGTTCAGACACTCCACCACGAATTGCGGGATCTGGGAGGGTCGGATGTGGTGTTGCATGGCAGGGAAGGAGGGAGGGGTGTAAGGCGGGGTGAGGTTTGAGACTACTCAAGCAAGAACGCGTGCACGTTACCTGCGTCTTAGGTGTGCACGCGTGCACCAGGTGTCGCGTCCAAAGATACTCCACCACGAACTGCTAAACCTGGAAAGGCATGATTTGACGGGAGAAAGAGTATCGGGAGACTTTGGAGCCTATCACAAGGTAAAGCGAGAACCAATCAATCACCAACCTGAGTAGATTTCCCGATACCCGTCTCTCCCACAAGCACGATGATCTGCTGCTTCTTCAACAGATCCACGAATTCCTGCTTCTGCTGCCACACCGGCAGTGTTTTCCGCTTCTCGAGAATGTCGAAGTACCGCTGCGTGTACGGCCGGCCGTTATACGGGTTGATCGTCTCCGACGCCGCGGCGATTACAGCCGTCGCAGCCGCCGCCGCCGCCGTCACATCTGCTGATCCGTCCACCTTCTGACGAATCGGCTCCGGCGGAACGTCAAAGAGTCTGATCTTACGCTTGTGCTCGGTTTCCATGTCTGACTGCTAGCCAATCGCTGACCACGTGATGCCAGTTGCTCGCTTCTTGCCAATTGCTGGCTCCGTCACAATTGCTGACTACGCGCCGGTAGACTCAGGGTTCACGAAACGTGAATCTAGGGTTTCTGCACTCTACAGCAGGCCACAGCAGACAACAGCGTTACAGCAGCGGTGAGACGTCACGCTCGAGAAAAGCGAATTCTCTCGGGCAAAGCAACAGGTGGTTTTGCTAGCCCAGCAACTTTACTGCTAGGGGAGTGAGCAGAAGTGATGTGGCTCGATATTCTAGCCGTTTCAACCCTTCGGAAGGTGCAGTGCGGGTCTCGTGTTCAGAAAGGTGTTTGCAAGTGCCACGTGTCTGCTGCTGCCTGCTTTTCGCTTCAAGCGAAGCGGACATCTCGAGCCATGCGCGATGACTAAGATTACGGGGGGGGGAGAATCTGGCGGATTTCACGACAGCCATTAAAGCAAGAATAATGCGCTCAGGCGAAGTTCGCGCTTGTGACGCCTGCCGTTCTAAATCAGAGCCCCGCGATCCCCCCCAATCGGCCAACACTCCGAAAAATGCGAGGCGAGCTGGTACGAAGGCACTATTGGTAGTGGGCAAAGAATAGCTTGCATGAAACATGGAGAATGCCGAGATGAAGACATTTGCTCATCATCAGAGCGCGGCCAAGCTGGTGAGATTTTAGTAACTGATTCATCACAGTGAACACGCAGAACTCTGTAGCTCGACAGCATATACAATTGAATCCGTGTTCAATACTAGAAAGAGGTCATACACTACTTATCACTGGCACATTTTTTAAACGAGGCTTATCACTCTCCTTTACTAATTGCTGCGTATTTTACCATCAACGTCAGGTGCCTCTCCTACTGAAGGTAGCAATGAGTGTGTTGAGCGATTTCCACAAGTATGATGGCCATTAGCGATAAGAATGGACATCTATCGTATGACGATTATACATCAATGCCCAGCATTGGCTGCACGACCAGTTGCGATCTAACCACATGCAGCCCATCACTCCAAGTGATGCTACCAGGAAAGAACCTCACTCTAGCTACTGTTGGGGTTATCCATACCGAGTACCACACACTCTGGTTTGGATATATAGTAAACTGGGAAGGAATCACTTTCACCTGCGTACCCTCCGGCACTTCAAGCGTGCAAGTGTACTTTGCCGCACGTAACGCCACGTTGGTAACCCGCCTGGTCACCTGAACTGTCTTGTTCAGCCGCGCAACGACGATATTCGGCTGGTTGAGCATGTAAGGCTTTACTGGGTCCAACTTTATCGGGCGGAAAATCCCCTTGGTAAGCCCTAAGCGAAGACCGGCGAGGAAATTTATGTAACCCTCGATTCCGACGTCGTAGACCAATCCGAGGCTGAGCACTCTCGAGGGAACCACATGTCCCGATCCGAACACCCACGGATTCGCGTCAACCCAAGTGGACATTTGAATCGGCTGTCCCCACGCGTCTTTCACCCGCGCTGTGGTCATCAGTGCGGATTTCACTGCAGCCGGCGTCCAATCCGGATGTTTCTGCATCACCATCGCTGCGATCCCAGCCACACACGCCGCTGAAACCGACGTCCCAGATTGCATCGAGAACCCCGGGGAGTTTCCGTAGGCCGCCGCGGCGAGGATAGTCAATCCCGGAGCAACTAAATCGGGCTTTAAGACGTCGTTGGTGATGGTGGGAAGGGCCCGGTACGGATAGCCTGGGCGGTACGGTGGTCCCGAGGAGGAGAAATACGCCATTATCGGCGATCGGACTTTTCTCGGCTGCTCCAAAACGAGATGAGAGAGAGTAGCGGTGGGACTCGCTGTCTTCATGATGTAATCCCTTATAAGCACACCCTTGGGGTACCCAAAGGAAATCACCGGGAAATTCCCGCTCACGCTGCGCACGCTCTCGTTAGAGTTCCTCGGTATAAGCACCATGCCTCGCGCCCCCGCGTCCTGAACCGTCCTCGCCCTCCTCTCCGGACTGATCCCACCAATGAAACACACAACCAGCCCGCCGCCCACTTTCTCGGCGTCAATCTTCCCCGGGCGGCACTGCCGCGCCTCCCAAAGGGCGGCGCCTGGTGCATGGGCCTCTTCCGAGTCGATAAGGGGGAGGTTGGCGGTTAGCACGCCGTCGCCGCCCGTCTGGGTGAGGCCGAAGAGCACGGTGCCGTTGCCGAGGGTGAGCGTGGCGCTCCACTCGCGATCCGTGGCACTGAGGGGAGGAAGGGGGAAGGGCGGAGAAGGGGATTGTGGAGGGTGGGGGAGAAGAGTGGTCTGGGTGAGGCCGAAGAGCACCGTGCCGTTGCCGAGTGTAAGGGTAGCACTCCACTCGCGATCCATGGCACTGGAATGGGGGGCAGGGGGGAAGGGGGGGATGGGTAGTGGGAGGAGAGTGGTTTGGGTGAGAACGAAGAGCACCGTGCCGTTGCCGAGTGTAAGGGTAGCACTCCACTCGCGATCCATGGCACTGGAATGGGGGGCAGGGGGGAAGGCGGGGATGGGTAGTGGGAGGAGAGTGGTTTGGGTGAGAACGAAGAGCACGGTGCCGTTGCCGAGGGTGAGCGTGGCGCTCCACTCGCGATCCGTGGCACTGGAAAGGGGGGTAGGAGGGGGGGGGGGAGAGGGAAGGAGCTGAGAAGTGTGGTGTAGGTAAGCCCGAAGAGCACAGTGCTGTTGCCGAGCGTGAGAGGGTGGCGCTGCACTCGCGATCCGTGGCACTGGGGGGTGGTGAGGGGGGGAGGGTGGGGAAGGGTGGTCTGAGTGAGCCTGAAGAGGACAGAGCCATTGCTGAGCGTGAGCATATACCATTATTGGTCCCCCCACCAAAGCAACATCCATTATTGCACGCCTCCGTCACTGTTGGCCCCCTTACCCTCTACTTCCCTCTTCCCCACCTCCTCCACTCCCATCCTTCCCTCCTCCCCCCCTCCCCTCTTTCCCCGCCCGTCCACCTTTTCCATCCTGCACCCACCCCATGCCCCTTTCTTGTCTCGCATTCCCCCCTTCTTCCGTCTTCTAGCTCACCTTGCCCCGACTGTGAGTATATAGGGAGCGACATTCGTTAGAGTGCGCCAATAGGTGGGCGTTGGGGGAGGTCCGTTGTTGCCTGCTGGCGCCACCACCAGCACACCCGCCTGTTGAGAAAGCAAGGAAGAGGGAGAGAGAGAAAAGAACTTTAATCAGTGAACACCAATTATTAGAATACATATAAGATATGTATATGTATGTTTGAATGTATTCAGAGGGATACACCCACCCCCACCCACCCACCTGAACCGCGCGTAACAAAAAGATGGAGTTGAAATAATTGTCGTCCGTGCCGCCAACCGCGAGCGACAACACATCAACCCCGTCCTTCACAGCGTCTTCGACAGCAGCCATGACGTCAGCAAGGCTGCTCATGCCGCCCCAAATCACTTTGTACACTGCGATGCGCGCGCGAGGCGCCACGCCGCTGAGCGACCCGAGAGTTGCATAGTTCACCTTCACTCCCGCATTCCCTGCTGCGACGCTGTGGGGGGGCCAAAGGAGAGGGGGACGGCGGGGAGGGAGAAAGTGGAAACGTGGAAAAAGGAGTTCGGGTTAGGAGGAAAGAAGAGTGGGGGGAGGGGGAAAGAGGAGACTAGGGAAAGGGCAAGAGGGGCGGGGGAGGGGAAAAGAGGAGCGGGGGTAGGGGAAAGAGGAGACCGGTGAGGGGGAAAGAGGACCCCTTGCCCCGTGCCCCGCATCCCTCAGCCCTTATCCCGTTCCCCTTAACGCGCGCTTCACGCCCCGTGCCCCGTGCCCCGTGCCCCGTGCCCCGTGCCCCGTGCCCCACGCCCCGTGCCCCGCGCCCCGTGCCCCACGCGCCGTGCCCCGCGCCCGGCGCCCGTGCCCCGTGCCCCGTGCCCCGCGCACCAAGACTCACCCGGAGCAGAACGTGCCGTGTCCCATGGCGTCGCGCGGCGACCGGTACTCCCCCTTCGCCAACGCGCCCGCGCCGTACTCTTGTAAAAACCCGTCCATATAGTACCGCGCCCCGACGATCTTATTGTTACAGCCGTTAAAGTCACGCGTTACGTTACAAACCCCGCGCCAACCCGTCAGAAGTTGCGACCCGGAATATCCGCGACCCGAGAACGACGGGTGCTGCGGCCATATCCCTGAGTCGACGAATCCGATTACCGTGTTATCTCCCGCGTATCTCGCGCCGCCAAACGCGGCCCACGTGGTCCGGGGCAGCTGCAGGAATTCCGGGACGTGCGTCATCATTGGTCGAAGCGATCGCATCCGCGAAACGCGGTGCACGCCAGGATGCCGCTTTAATAACCGGACCTGGTCGGACGTAAGGCGCACCGCGAACGCGTTGGCGACATAGTGGTAGCTATAGACTAAGTCCGAGCCGCTTAGTCCGATGTCTGCTAGCGTCTCCTCGTGTGTGGACCTCAAATGCTGCGCGTACGCCTTAACGTGCGGCGATGACGGGTCCGGTCGATGCGCCTTGGCCCTCTCCCTCGTCTTGCTGCTTCCCCCACTGCTTCCCCCACTACTTCCCCCACTGCTTCCCCCACTGCTTCCCCCACTGCTTCCCCCACTGCTTCCCCCGCTTCTTCCCCCGCTGCTGCCTTTCAAACCCCGACGAATGCTGCCGCCCATTAGCGCGCCAGCTCGTAACCGTCGTTCCTGTAGTCGTCTCTCGCGAAACCGGGTGTCTTGTAACCCTTCGCCTTGTGACCGTCTTTCGCGTAAACGACGATGCTGTGTATGTCTCGATAGTGCGTCTTTCGCTTCTACATCTTGTTTTCCCGCCTGTAACAGCTTCCTCCTACCTCGGGAATCCTCTGTTCGCGAGTCTCCTGCGGGTAACCGTTCCTCTTGTAACCCTGGCTCTTCCTCTAACAGTGCCTCCTGTAACGGTTCGTCTTGTAACCGTCTTTCGTCAATCTGCATACCCGAAATTCCTTCGCCACCCCTCTCTCCCCTCACGCTACCGCCGTTCCGATCTTTTATCGCATCCCTAACCGACCTATCGCCCCCTTCCTTATAACGATCTCTTTTCTCGTTACCACCATCGCTACTATCACTACCTCTATAATCCCCGTAGTAATCCTGATAGTCGTAATCACCAGCCTCCCCTCGTCTGCTCCCTTCATTTCGCAATGCTACACTCTCCTCCTCCTCCTCCGTCTCCCAATCGCCTCCCTCAACCCCCTCCGCCTCCCCCTCCCCCTCTCCCTCTTCCTCCTCCTCCTCTTCCTCTGTAGCAGCGGTGGTAGCCGTCGCCTGTAGCCCGTCCACGCCGCCGTGATAGCTTATCACGGGCGGCAGCGCCTTCATGTACACCGTGTACAGCTGCCGGCTGTAGCTCCCGGATCCCAGCGACACGTGGCGGGAAATCGAGGCGGCGGCGGAGGAGGAAGAGGACGGCTGCGATTCCGTGTTTGTACGCGTTATAAGGGACGCCGAAACAAGCAGACTTATAAACAGCGGTAGAAGTGCCGTCTGGAAGTTCCGTGCCATGGTGCAGTGCGCTCGCCCCTTGCGAGGTGTGTTTTATCCCCGATATTGACACACTCGTATGGGCACGTTTATGATAGTCCAGCAAAGTGCACTTTATCCCCGATATTGCTGTGCGTATCTAAGCCCATGCATTAGGCGCGACAATAGGAGACCTCGGAAACCCGAGAAACTCTTGTTGACTGTGCGATCTCAATGCCAAAGACGACTTGGTCGCACGGAAGTGACAGTATGGCGACAGGACGACTTGGTCGTACACGACAGTAGGCGACCCGTCCTAGTACAAGCGAAACGCGGCAAGGCGGTACAGGCTGTTGCAGGGATGTCTTTGTGTCGTTTTTAGAGTGGTCTACCTCCTCACAAGATCTCTGGAGGCCTGTGGATAATCGATGGAATGCGGAATCCAATACGCTCTAAAGATTAGAACGGCGAAACCCTAAAACTGCCTTGCAGCAACGCAGTTCCTGTAGTTTCGAACAAGAGACGCGGCTCGGAGAGAGCTCAAGGTTCCACCAACCCCACCCCGAGAGCTTTGGGGTCCTCCGAACCACGACACGATACGGCAGACACGGCCTACTGAAGACATGGTTGGGCTGGGTGGGAGTCGGGGGGATCGACGGGTCACACTATCACACACATTGATCCACTGCCTGCCTACCCCATGTCGGTCACCATCCAGTCCCATGATCAGTCCTTTCCATCTGTACCCTGAGAGAGTCGGAGATTCATGGCTTGTCATATGATTCGTTGCTAGTGTGCAAGAGCATCCACTAGCAAAGCACCGTGCAACACCGAATGGCAAAGTGTTTTAATATTCAACCTCAGAACGTTTTTACCGTTCTGGAACGTAACGCACCAGTCATAACCGTGGTGCGTGGATTGAAATCATAATCAGGAGGAGGTGGGGCGAAGTGATATACGAAGCGCTGTGGTGCCCAAGAAAACTCCTGAACTCAGCAGGTTATCAGGTGTCTGCGAGACGAGTCGCTGTTGCCGTTTCCAATGTGTTCATGTGCATGTCATTCCCATGTCGAGATGCCATGGCAATAAAAAACGTCTGCCGGGCCACGAATTGAGGCTCGGAGACATGTTCCTGCACGAAAGTCGAGCTTCGAAAAAAATCGAAGCTTCTTCCTGGCACCTGACCAGTTCCGTGGGTGAGCGCGACTTGCGGCGACTGAATCGCACACATTTTCCGTCAACGTAAATTTGTCGTGGGCGCCAAACGCGGTTCCGCACTTGGCGAACTCTCGCTGTTCAGATGTGATGGCTGGTCGTTACCGCTTCGTTCGGTGCTTTCGGTCCCTCGCCAAGGACAGAAGGGTATCGTCGATGAAAAATGCGATTGGCATGTGTTCGGTGGGATCTGCCCACAACAACACGACCCACATTTGTGGGAATACACGTGGCAAACTTCTAGCGGCTTTGACATGTCTGTCCATGCACGACGCGGCAAACGAGATGATGACAACACGTTCACTGATAGCACGTTTAGTGATAACATTGACCAAAATAGGCAGGTACATGCAATTAGATTAAACGTTAATTAAGTTAGAAATTCAGATGAAGTCAGATAAGTTAGACAAGTGAACACCTGCAACCTTGAAAGTTTCCAGGTTATATAAGGTTATTAATTATTGCCCTCTTAAATGCACAAGATAGTGCAATAAGGACAAGATTGTTACCTGCAGTTGGGTCCATCTCACTCATCCAATGCACCCCTGCAGTCACGAGCACACTTACCCCCTCAAAACCTTACCCAGCTTCAGCCAGTACACCAGCTTCCTCCAGTACACACAATGGGATCTAAACGCACAGTCAGGGATTCTAATACCCGCTCCCGAGAAACTTCGACGGCAGCACAAGATCGAACGGCCACGAGAGCATCTCTCCAAACCGCAGATCCTGTTGATGGCCCTCCCACAACCCACTAGGGCTACCCCCATCCTCCTCACCACTCCCACTCCCACCATCCCTACCTACCCCACCACCTCCTCCACTACCCCCTCCTCCTGCCACAACCCCAACCTTCCCCCCTTCCCCTTGCCCATTCCCCCCTGACGAACTCCCCTCTCCGCCCCCCCCTCTCTCTCCACTCCCACCAGCACCGCCCCCTCCTCCCCACACATTCTCCCCGCCAGCTGCAGCCCCCACCCTCCCTCGCCCGGCCCGTCCAGCCATCCATCTCTTCACCTTCGCCAGCTCCTCTCTGCTCCTCGCCGCCTCCCTCTCTCTCGCCTTAGCTGCTGCCCTCGCCTCCCTCGCCTCATCTCTCAGTGCCTCCACCTCTTCAGCCAGCTGGATCAGAGTCTTCTGCTTCGCCTCGGCAAACGCTGCTGATTCTTCCGCGTGGCGTTTGTCCCCGTGTGCCGCATGTACCACCCGCATGCTCAGCTTTTCCGTACGGGCCTTTGCCGCACGTAGTTGAAGCGTTAGCTCCTCGTGCCGTGCCTCCAGGTCCGTTATCCGAGCCTCGGCTTCCCTCGCCCGAGCCTCGGCTTCTGCTGCCCGACCCTCAGCTTTGGCGACCTGGCCAGCATCAGTCCCTGAAGACCGGAACATCCGAGCCTCAGCCTCCGTTTTCGACACCCGAGCCTCCGTTTCAGCTCTGGATGCCCGAGCCGTGGCCTCGGCGACCCGGCGCTCAGCCTCGGTGGCTCGGCGCTCAGCCTCGGAAATAGCCCCGCGGGCAGCATCGGCATTGGCTCGGGCAGCAGCAGCTTCGGATTGGGACCTCTCAAGCTCGCTTTCTAACCTTGCTGCCTTCTCCTCTGTTCGACGCAGCCTCTCCTCTGTAACCCACAATTCCCTCTCCAGAAACTCAATCCGTGCCCGCAACTGCACCCGTTCCGCTTCCGCAGCTCCTGCTGCTGCTTCGGCCCGTGCAGCCACGGCAGCTCCCGAAGCAGCTGCCTTGGCGGCTTCCTCTGCCTGCTTCCGCACCCGAGCCTCCGAGCCAGGCTTGGCAGGGCTGCTAAGAGGCGTAACTTCCTGTACCCCTGCACCTGCCCCTGCACCTGCTCCTGCGCCTACCCCTGCTTTCCGTCTCAACTCTTCCAGTTCGCGTTTGATGTGGGACGCCTCCTCCTCCTGCTTCACCAGCATCGTCTGCAAGAAGCGGACGAGCGTCTTCAGCCCGCGGTTCTCCTTATTCAGTTGCTCTATAAGCGGACCGTTACTGTTGCCCTCCACCACCACCCCTGCCCCTCCGCTCACCAGTCCCTGCTCCCACTTGCCCTTTTGCTCACTTCCCCCTCCTCCTCCGCCTCCTCTGCCGCCTCCCCCTCCCTTCCCTTCCGCTGCCCCTGCTGACGATAACCCACCCCCACTGCCGCCAGAAAGGTATTCGGGGCACCAAATGAGGCTGCTCCCGCTGCTGTTGCCGCTGCTGCTATTCCCGCTGCTGCTGATGCTGCTGCTGCCCATGCTCCCGTGCGTGATGATGCTGCTGCCGCTCGTCGTGCTACAGCCGCTACAGCCGCTCAGCACGCTGCTGTTGCTGCCGCGAATACCAATCGTGCGCTCCAGCGGCCGGCACGCCAGCTCCAGCAAACTACGAGAAACACCCTCTCCAGGGTTATTTACCCTGGAAATTCCTGCCTCATATGCACTCACTGGGGAGTATCCCGCGGCAGCTGAACCAGCAACCTTGTGGCCGCAAGGGGAACTTACGGTACTACCCATTCTGTACGTGTATCCCCCATCTTCTGCCCTCTCCCCTCCGCCCTGCCGCCCCTTCTCCGCCTCTCTCCTCTCCCTTTCCCCCAAAATGCTCCGCAAGACACTTTCTTCCGCCCGCCTCCTCCCCTCCTCCGCCTTCCGCCGCCCCTCTTCCGCCTGCAGCCTCCCCTCCTCCGCCCCCTTACTCCCCGCCTCTGCAACCTCCTTCGCTGACTCAGCAGCCACTCTCGCTGACTCAGCAGCGTCCCTTGCTGACTGGGCTGCCGCCAAAGCTGCCTCTGCCGTCACAACATCCGCGTTAAGAGCTTCTATCCGCGCCTCTGCTTCTTTAAGCGACTTTCGCAACCGCTCGTTCTCCTGCCGCAGCAGCACTAGAAGCGAATCCATGGGGCCCTTATTACCCCCAGATGAACCTGCCCCAGTAGCCCCTTCACCAACACCGCCGCCTGCCGCCGGGCTTCCCACCTCCGAGCCTACGACCGAACCGCCGCCGGGGCTGCGTAGGTTGCCGAGCCTGGTTGCTCCGGGCCGAGCCAGCCTGGGAGAGGCACTGCTAGCCGGGCTACTGCCGCCGAACCCGCCGCAGCTGCAGGCTTCACCATCCTTCCTCTCCGCCCCGCCCCCCTGCGTTTTCACCTGCGACTCGGCTTGCCGTTGCCAGTGCCTGATCTCCCGACAGGCAAGCTCCAGGTCTCTCCTCATCTGTTCGTTTCTCCTGACCACCACCGCAAGCTCCGCTTTCAGCGCCTGCGCCGCCTCCCCATCTCCCGCCGTTCCGCCCACACGGAGACTATCCGCGCCCGTTCCGCGCCTCCGCCTCCGCCTCCGCGCGAAAGAACCGCCGCGTCCAGCCGCTTCTGCAGGCCCTCGTTTCTCCCCTTCGCTTCCGCCAGCTCCCCCAAAAGCTCCGCGTTCTCCTCACGCGCTTCCGCGAGGTCTTTCTGAGTCTGCGCGCCTTTGGCGGCCAACGCGCGGACCTGCTCCCGTTGTTCCGCGCATTCCTCTAGCGCTCTCCGCAGCTCCGCCTGCGCCGCCTGCGCCGCCTGCGCTGCCTCCTCCAGCTGCCGGAGCTCCGCGTTTGCGCCCGCCAACTGGCGCACCTCCCCGCGCAGCCTCCCGTTCTCCAGCGCCAAGTCCGCCGCGCGCTCCTGCTCCTTCACCAGGCGCGCGCGCATCTCCTCCGCACTTGCGCGCAATTCCACCATCTCCACATTTGTTGCTTTGAAGCTTTCCTCTGCCTTCCGCCTCTCCGCCTCGGCTGCGCGCAGCCCATCTTCCAACTCGCGGCTTTCCGCCAGAGCGGAGCCCAACCTTTCCCGGGAAAGTTCCGCACCCCCGCGGAGGGCGTCGTTCTCCGCCCGGAGCATCCGAGCGTCATCTTGCGCCGACTGCAGCTGCGCCTGCCACTGCTCCCGCTGCTGGCGCAACTCCGCCTGCCAGCGCTCCTGAAGCTCCCGCTCCTGCGCCTCAAGGTGCACTTTCCGCCGAGCTTCATTCTCCCGCCGCTCCGCCTCCGCATCCCGCCGTTGCGCCTCCAGTTCCCGCCGCTGCCCCTCAAACTTCCCCTCAAGCTCCCGCACGTCTTCCCAGGCGGACTGCAGCCCGCGGCGCAACTCCGCGCACTCGTCTTGCGCGGCGGAAGCTTCGTTCTGCGCTCGGCGAAGCTGCTCCTGAAGATCCTCCACTATCGAGTCAACTCTTACCGCTTCCTTCGCCACGATACGCGTCTGCTCCATCGCAGATGCCACTGTGGACGAACTCGAAGAAGCCACTAACGAGGATGGAGTCCCTGGCCGCTGCTCCGATTTAAGAATCCCGCTGTTGCTTATCGTTCTCCGATAGTAATCCAGGCCGGCTTTCCCATACTCCTCCGCAACCTCGCTAACCACCACGCTACTCGACCTCCCGACACCATCCCGTTCCAGATCCTTCCACTTCACCTGTCGACTAGCCCTCGCCTTATCGCTCAAATATGCTGCTGTCGCCGTCTTGTCGTTCAGAAGTGCGGGAAGAACCTCCTGGTGAATCACACTCGATAAAAGGTGCACCGATCGCCGAGTCTGTCACCGACACGTGTAGCTTCTCTATCTCCGGACCGGGGTGTAGTCGGCCTGCTTCCATACCTGTCGCTTAGTCTGTCGGCTAGACTGTCGCCCAACCTGTCGCTTAACCTGTCGCCGTGCCTGTCGCTATAACGATCGTAGTCGTCGCCGGACGTAAAACTAGCGGCTGGATTGGGCGTTAACGATTGAGTTCGAGACATTTGATTCGCCGTTGCCCAGTGCTGGTTGCGAAGGCGCTCTATGATGCCGTTTATGTCGTCCTCGTGCATCGGCTCGTCGTCTTCATCCAACGGCCGGCTACCGCTGGATGCAGAAGATCCTGACCGTCGCATGGTGGGTGAAGGAGTCTAATCTGGCGATGCGAAGGGAATGGGGCTAAGACTGTTACAGATTTAAGGAGAGTCTGGGACTAATAGAGGAGACGTCGCCGACGGTTCTAACAAAGAGCAGGTCGCATGATATGGAGCAATAAATACACATTTTAGCTATCTCAGACTTAAGTTACCTAGTACTAATATGCTTAAGACCGCCACGCGTTGCGTACACTCGAAATGGATGACGTAATGCCGAGGGCAGACAAGGTCTAGTAGCGAAGCTAGCAGCGAACTCAAACAAAGCAACTGCAACAGAAGTCCCAGGAAGGTAAGAACCCTTCAGCTGTGTGCAGTGTGGTGGTGTTACCTGGACCACCGCTGCTGTGCCCTCCACGGTTTGACTAGCAGCAGGAACTCTAGGGATGAAGCAGGTACTCCACACGGGTTCCAGAACTCAGATACAGCCCATGAACCGCTTTAATATCAGTCGAAAACTCCCAAAAATCGAAAGAACGTACTCAACCGTACTAAACGAGGGGAAGCCATCTCCGAACTTCAAGGTTGAAGCAGTAGATCCAATCCAACCCAACCCCGAGAATGCTAGCCAGGCGGGGGGTCTCACTGTAGGTGCGGAGCGAAAGGGGGCAGAGGGAGGGGGGAAATGGGGATTGGGGGGAAATGGGGACCGCCGGAGGGGGGAAACTGCTGGGGTTTGGGTGGATGTGCGGGTGCAAGTGAGGCAAGGGGGATCCAGGAATGCAGGGAAAGGGGGGAAAGTACAGGGAAGGGGGGAAGGGGCCAATGCGGGGAGGGGGGGACGAGCCTGACTGAAAAAACTTATCTTGTTCCTCAGGTCCGTCCATCCAACGAGTCTGTGACTGTGACTGCAAATTTGGCGGAAACGAGGGGCCAGCCGAAGCGCCCCTGGGTTTCAACCAGCATGGCGCGCAGCTCTGCTAAAGAGATCGGTGACTTGTGACATTATTGGCCAAGAGACTGACACACGAAGCCACGACTAGATTCTCCCGCTTTCGCAAAATTGCGGCGAACAAGGGCGAACGACCGTGCAGTCGCTGACGGGTTGATGTGTGACGGTTGACCGTCTGGCCGCAAATGTGCATGACGACCTCGATGTAACTACCTCGACACGTGGCAACCCTTTTGCTTGTGGCTGATTGACATCCGCGATTCAGGACATCCTCCGCTTTAGGTAGCGAAGGCCGTGTAGCACAAAGATGGGCATGAACTCTAGATGTTTAAGATCTGTATAGCACATGATCATCACAAACAAGGAACAATAATAAATAGAATTAAGCAGCAACATTTACCAGTAGTTAGCCCCAATTGTCAGCTCTATAAAATGAGCACTACATCCACATATCCTGCGGGTTAGCAAATGTAAGTCACTCAACAAGGAGTTGAGAGCTTCTCAATTAGCCCCACCAGTACCAGCGATGAAGGCTCCTAAAAACATCCTCATCCCAGTTCACACCCACGACTGACAATACAGAGCAGAAACCCGATGACTTATCACAAGAAGCTCCACCGGACCATGCACCATACCTCCTGCACCTAACCCCACCCCACTGCACCGCACACCCCTCCCACCCCACCCTAGAGCACCCTTTTTATTTCCCTTGGTTATCCCCACATCCTAATCTTAAACCTCCCTGCCCTGGAATGCACACCCTCATACGGTACCTTGCCCCATGCCTTGCCTCTAAGGCTTGCCTCACCACACACCTTCCCGACACCAGGTTGCCCTGCCACCACTTCCCACACCTCTTAACCCCTCCACACACTGCTTCAACCCCGCCTTGAACCCCAATGGGCTGCATAGGCAGCACGCTGCGCAGCGTGACCATTCCCTTGAACCATCCATTCCTGTACCTCTCATCCCCATCCCTCACCTTGCACTGTTCTGGTCCCTTGCTTCACAACACCTCCCTTATCCATCAAGGGGATTTCTTCACAATCGGCTGCACGACCAGCACGCTGCGCACCTCATGCACGCCGGCCTTCCCTCGAAGCATCCATTCCTGTGCCTCTCATCCCCATCCCTCACCTTGCACTGCTCTGGGCCCTTGCTTCACAGCTTCCCCCCTATCCCTCACGATGATTTCTTCACAATGGCCTGCACAGCCAGCACGCTCCGCACCTCATGCCCGCCGTCCTTCCATGTGATGCTCCCAAACGTGAAGTTCTTCTGAATCGCCTTGGGAATAATCGTCACGTTATACGCCGCCCGCTGCCCGGGCCTCAGAGTCAGCTTCGACGGGGACACAGACACGCTCACCCCATCCGGCTTCACCAGGTAGAGCTTATACGTGGACGTTTTAAACTCCACGTTTGTAACCCACCGGGTCACGTTCAGTGTCTTCTTTATCCTCCCTATAGCGATATTCGGCTGGTTCAGATTGTACGTCTCGATAGGGGACAGCGCCGCTGCCGGAAAAGCCGCCTTGGCCTTTTTCTCGTCCAACCCCGCGAGGAAATTAATGTAGTTAACCGCCCGGACGTCGTAAACTAGCCCCGCATTTATCGATTTTCCAGGGGTAATATGCCCGGAGCCGAATTGCCACGGGGAGGCATACGTCCAATCCCACGACCGGATCCCCTTCCCCCACATATCCTTCACCGAAGCAGTCGTCATGATAGCGGATTTCACCATTCCCGGGGTCCACCGGGGGTACTTCTGAATCAGCAAAGCTGCCACGCCCGCAGCGACGGAAGCAGCAGCAGACGTGCCGCTCTCGAGCTTGAATCCGGGGGAGGCAGCGTTGCCGGTGTTGGTGGAGGAGAGGAGGGCGAGACCGGGGGCGGTGATGTCTGGTTTGAGGATTTCGTTGGTGACGGTGGGGTTCTTGGGCATGGATATCCAGGGGTCCAGGGGCGGGCCGGAGGAGGAGAAATAGGCCATCACTGGCGCGAGCGTGCCTTTAGGAAGGGTGTAGAGGATGGGGGAAATCGAAACCGTGGGCCTGGGCGGACAGGGGAAGGGGATGGGAGGGGAAGCGGAGAGCGGAAGAAGGAAAAAGGGTAAGGGGATGGGGGATAGAAGGAGTTGGTAGGGGAGAGAGGAGGGCGAGGCCGGGGGCGGTGATGGCGGGTTTGATGATGCCGTTGGTGACGGTGGGGGGGTGCTTGGCGTTGGAAATCCAAGGGTCGACGGGTAGAGGATGGGGGAATTCGAAATTGTTGGCCTGATGAAAGGGTGGGAGGCATGGGGGAAGGAGAGAGACAAAGAGGGAAAAGGGAAGGGGATGGGGTAGGGAAGGAGGGAAGGAGTGAGGAAGAGAGGAGAGAGGAGGGCAAGGCTGGGGGCGGTGATGTCGGGTTTGAGGATGTTGTTGGTGACGGTGGGGTTCTTGGGGGTGCTGAGATGACTTTTGAGTCGACTCAAAAAGGGGCTCTGCTGCTGCAGCACCAGCACAGCAGCCTGGCCTTGCAGCAACAGCACAAGCACCGGCCTCAGAAATCGCCCTGCTTTACTTCACCTACAGTCTTACGTGGTGGTAAAGGCTGGTAGAGGCGTTCTTGAGATGGTCCTTGGATGGACACCTTGCGAGATGAGTTTTGAGGCGCCTCACAATGACTTTCGAGGCGCCTCACAATGACTTTCGAGGCGCCTCACAATGACTTTTGAGGCGCCTCACAATGACTTCCGAGGCGCATCAAAAGGCGTTCTTGAGATGGTCCTTGGATGAACACGCGCCTTGCGAGATGAGCATTCCCACTGTCCCCCCCGGAAACGAGCCGGTCATCGACCCACCGCACATACTGCCGTGATAAAACAAGTGTTTTGAGACGCCTCAAATCAAATCGCAGACCACACATACTGCCGGGGGCTCTGCTGCACCACCAGCATCCCTCAAATCACAGACCACACATACTGCCGGGGGCTCTGCTGCACCACCACCAGCATCCCTGCTACCCCTGCTGCTGAGGGCCTACTCTCTTACTTGGTGTTGCTGTCGTTCTTGAGATAGTCCTTCATGTCTTGCGATATCAGCATGCCCGCAGTGACCCCCGGGAATGTCATACAAACTCCCTGAATAGCCCACTCTCTCCCCTTCCTCACGTACTTGGTGTTGCTGTCGTTCTTGAGATAGTCCTTCATGTCTTGCGATATCAGCATGCCCGCTGTCACACCCGGGAACGTCCCTGTGACCGACCGCACGTACTGCCGAGGACTCTGCACCACCAGCAGCACCGCCTTGCCGCCCGCTGTCTGCACCGTCAGCGCCTTCTCCTCCAATGACACGCCGCCGTGCCAGCACAGCACCGCGGCTCCAATCACCTTGGCGGGATCTAGCGTACCCATTCTGCACTGCTCCGCCTGGAGGGGCAGATAGAGGT